GATGGCAGCAGCTTAAATTCTGTAAGTGGGAAGGTAGGATGGTTGACTCTGACCACCACCATTTCATGTTACACCCCAAGTATGGATTTAACCTGAGACGTGGTCAGAAAAGTGGAATTTGCTTTTATTGGAAGCATGGCATGATAGAAACACTGCCATTCCTAACCTTCCTCTTAAAATCTTTTTAAGGCTTTAATGAATGCCTGTTTCACAAGTACAAGGAATAAATGAGGAAACTGCTTGTCCTCAGTGGCAATTCCAGAACTACTGCAGATGGTACCAGCACTCAACATGGGGGTTGATTTAATAAAAATGAAGATTGCAAAATATGGTACAGCTGTATATAGCAGCCAATCAGCACCTAACTTTAGCTTGTTCAATCAAAGTGGTTCTAAGGGCTGAAGCAGGGGCGGACTGACAACTCATGGGGCCCCCGGGCAATAGGGGATCATGGGGCCCCTATGTCCTTGCCCACACTCAAAAAAAGCCTATAAAAAAAGGTACCAGGGGCATTTCATGGGGCCCCCTACTGACCCCAGGCCCTCATGCAGTGCCCGAGTTTCCAAATGGTCAGTCTGCCCCTGGGCTGAAGGTTTTTTTTACCTTCGTGCATTCTATCTATGACATCCTCAGTGACACCAATACAGTGATCAGTGCTGATAAAAAGCACTGACACTGTACTAATGGCACTGGGTAGGAAGGGGTTGACACGTGGAGCGATCAAAGGGTTAACTGTGCACTGTTTTACTATGAGGCTGTGTGTGTGTTTCACTGTAAGCACACTGCTTTGTATGGCTCATACAAAGCCATGTGCAGGAGATGACAGGGGAGAGATCTGTGTTGTTTACACACAGGTCTCTTCCCCGTTGGCGATCACTGGGTGCCGGCGACAAACCACAGGCCAGGACCTGGTAATTGACAGTCAAAGTCGCGAATGGTGGCACGGCTCGCGTGCGAGCTCCTTACCCAGAACTGCAAAATCAAGTATATATACGTGATTTTGCACACCCGTGCCGCCCTGTAGCAGTATTTCTACTATAGGGCGGCGAGAAGTGGTTAATAGCAAATTGGGATTTTAAAACATGTGGGAGTGTTGATGGAGTGATAAACTGGTGAGATCACTTGGAGAGGATTTCCCAATTAAACAAAAGGCCAGCTGTACCACTAATGGTAATAAAGGAAGATGGATAGGTGAGAAAAATGCTTTACAAAAGCATGACGCCTACAAGGAGTTATTTGTGTATTTTTAACACTCTGTATCGGGTTAACCAAAAAATAGTTCACATGTTAGCAAGCGTGCATCACCTAAAAACAAATATCTATTTTACGGTCGTATAAACAAACCATACATTACACTCCCCTCAGATAACCTTGCCAATTGTTAAATGGGTTGAATCACTTCCACACCATCACAATGAATCACGTCCTGTCTTTTCTGATTTATTCTGCACTAAATACATTGTATTGTAGCTCACTATTTTTTAGATTTTCATTAGTTTTAATTTTTTTTATTTTAGCCTTAAAAAAAAAATTCAGAAAAAAAAAAATAGATTTTTGTATACACGGTCCTTTCTCCACTTTCAATAAATCTGAATGTTGTAGAATACATACTAAAACCTGTACAAACGCAGTGTGATGGGAGTCACTTTGGGTGAGGGGCCCATGGAACACAGCTCACTTTGGAGAGGTGGGGAGACCCCTGTCTCAGCTCCCCATATCCCTCTTATGTGTAAGTCACCCTGTGCCTGTTAGGGGTACAGGGTGATTTGGCCTAATATTGGGGTGGGGGGGTTGTTGATTGTTTAATGCCATGTGGTTGCATCCCTTTGTTCTATTGTGTGTCTTGCTTTGGAGCAAACTATTATGGGATGTATGTTTATGTGTATTGGCTTGGTGGGGGGATCTCCAGCAGCTCTCCCTTCTGATGTCTGTTGGTGTCTCTTGTTACTAAATATAGATTTCCCCGCCCTGTGTCATTATGCAGGGAGGGGGTATTGTCCCATGAGTGTATAGATCTTGTATCTGTGATAAAATAAACTAGTCTATTTCCTGGTTTACTTCAAGACTGGTGTCGTCTACTCTTGTATGGTCGGCTGTGGTGTCTGTTATCGGTGTTCAGATGGGGAAGCGGTAGTCTAACAGAAGTACCCAAGTGAAGTCTGGGGTCGGTTCCGTTACATTTAGGATTACCAGGTATAAAAGAAAAAAGAAAACGAAAGAAGCCACCACATGTAAGAACTGGTAAAATACAATGGGGTTGATTTACTAAAGGCAAATATACTGTGCACTGCAAGAGAGGTTGCTCCAGAACTTAGTACATAAAGCTTCACTTTGCAAAAAACACTCAATCACAGGCAAGATAAAAAAAAAATGCCAAAAAAAACAAAAAACAGCATTTTTGCATGCGCATAATTGGATTATAGAAGTCAGCATTGCTAACAGATATAAATATTGAAATTCATAAATAAATTAAGGCATTAAAAAAAAAAAAAAAATCCATCAAATTACACCATGATAAAATGCCATCGATCCATATCACTGCGAATAAAACTTATAAAATTTGCTCTAAATAGTGAAATATATAAATGTGAATAGGCTCGTTGAAGTTCATTTAATTAATTCAAAAAGGTACATGAACCAACACCATGTGACATATATCCATGCTCCAAATTAACTTTGCACACTATAGTGCCAGCTCAGTGTTCTCAGAACTCTCACCTCCAGTTTTCTATTATGTTGCATGTAAATAAAATATTTCCACTTTGAGCTTCGATCTCCTCCGACCACTAGGGGCTCTCCACTCTTCCTTTCCTTTGATCAGTAATCAGATGTGTGACATCTTAAAAGCGGAGTTCCACTCACTCTGTAAAAAAAAAAAGACAGCAACTACAAAAACTGTGGCTGCTGACTTTTAAAAAAAACAGCCACTTACCTGTCCCTCGGTCCCACGTTGCCCCCGCCGCAGCCCGTTTCACCAGCCGTCCTGTATTCCAGGCGCCGGAATCTTCAGTGTGGGCACCCGGCTGCGACAGCTTGCGGCTTCACAGCCGGGTGCCCACTGCGCATGCGTGAGTAGCGCTGCGCATCCTGAATGGCCACGGACCTGTCACATGTCCCACAAGACTACAGGGAGGGAGGGTAGGAGGACAACTTCTGCTTCCGATCGCCTAGGCGATCGCAGCGGAAGTCGGTACCTGTCATTTCAGGTACCCGCTCCCCAAAGGTGCCAATCCTAAATGGGGAGCGGGGGACCACTCTTTAAAGTGGAACTTCCCCTTTTGGGTGGAACTCCGCTTTAAGGATGGCCATACATTATACAATTTTCTTGAGAAATTTGCTTTAAATTTACCAAAACCCACATAATACGATGTCAAACCTGAACAACACTTTCAATTGTTTCCAATTAGGCAGGCAAATTGGACAGAAAGTTGTATAGTGTATGGCCAACCTAAGACTTCCTCAGTCTCAGATGAGCATTGTCACCTCGCTCATATGCAAAAAAGAATAAGCGTAATACAGTGTAGTATGTTGATAAAACTTTCCAGCATACTTTAAAATATATCACACTTACATTCAAATAATAAAGGATCGCTGTTAGAATCAGAGAATCGCGGCATGTACTTCTGTGTTGCGTCACTTCCGATTACACCTGCCTCCGCCCGTAAGCGGGGCATAAACGGAGGGCAGATGTAATCAGAAGTGACGCAACACGGAAGTATGTGCAGCGATTCTTTGATTCTAAAAGCTTCCTTTATTATTTGAATGTAACGGTCCATGTACACCGGCGCTGCTAAACTCACGTTTAGGAGCTCTTCAGCTTTTTTTTTTTTTTCGCAGCCCCTGAACTCTCCCTAATGATTTCCTATGTGTCCATGTACACTTCTTTGTTTCCAGTCGTTTACAGGCAGTTGAGTTTACAGTCGTTTTTTTTTGAACGCATCAAACTTGCGTTCAGACGTCGATTTTATCAGCGTTTCAAACGGTAAATCGCGTTTATAAGCATTTGCGGTCAAAATTCTTTTTTTTTTTAACTCTTCCAGTTCCCAATGCTGTCCAGAGCCTTTTTTCATCATGAAAAATGCATTGAAAGCGTTTTCAGGGTGCTCAGATGGACAAAACACTGAACACAGGATGTTCCTATCAAGCTTGTCACACATTGTAATGACCAATTCACACCTCAGACCTCTCCCACCCTTGGAAACAAAAGATATGTTAATGACCATTCACACCTCAAATTCCTCATGAAGACCCCCTGCCAGGTGGCCTTAATGACTCCCTCCACCAGACACCTTTCCCACCTTTGGAAACAAAAGAAATGTTAATGAGCAACTCACACCTAAGCTAATCTCAATACATACTGCTGTCTCTGCTTCTACTCTCTGTATGTCTCTGAAACAGTCTGAAATAGTTAATAATTTACCACTTTTCAGTGCATTCTGGGCATTTGGGAGGTTCTCCTGTGCTTAGCTTAAAAAAACGCTTATAAACGCGAACGCTTCAAAACACGTTATGTATATGCAGCTAAACAGACATTTTTTAACCTACGGTTTCCAGCAGTCAGTATCCATCGTTCAGAAACGTCCCGTGTACATGGGGCCTGAGTGCAATATATTTTAAAGTATGCTGGAAAGTTTCATCAACATACTACATTACATGACGCTTATTCTTTTTGCATACGAGGGAGGCCCTTGCACCCCAGCAGTCTGTAGTGGGAACATTGATTAGGCTAACAGCATTGATCTCTACTAGCCCCATATCCCCTGCCAACAATATATCCTGTCCACACTCTCTGACCTTCATTTTGCCTATTAGGATTGCAGTTTCTGACAGTCCTCTCAAACATTGCATATACTGAACATGTGTGGTCCTTTGGGGATGTAAAGGGCCACATTTGGGGCCCCCTTTGGCTCAAAAGTTGACAGCCACCACATTAGAGCACGATGGTTCACACAGCCACCTCTCGCTGGAATTGGAATGGACACATTTTTCATTTTTCCTACCTTTGAAGGACTCGGAGCTCATGTGGCCTCCACCTTGATTCAGGTGATGCTCTGATCCCTCAGAGAAAGTTAGCTTGGAAATTCCCAGGCTGTGCGCTGAGGTAGAAGGCTCTGCTGGAAGCAAAGTCAGACACAGCAGCCGTGTCAATAAATAAAGGATGATGTGAGATTTAGGTAACTACAGAAGTCAGTCCTGACATTGAATTGCTCACCTTTCTCTCTCTCTTCCCGCGGTATACTGTGCTCCGGTTTGTATCCGCACCCTTTTCCTGTCAGTTTTTCACAGGTCAGATGAAATTCTCTCTTGTGATGAGGCCGGATAAACTGGTAAAAGCCTGTCAACAATAAAAATGGCAGTTAATCACTTTAGAGCATGCACTATACTATGGTCAAATATTTGTAAACAAATGACCATCACACCCCACTACATGGACAGAATGTGGACACCTCATCAAATGATTGAGATTGGGGGGGGGTTGTGAAAAATACTGTTAACCGCTTCAATATGGGGGGGGGGGGGGGGGGCTACATTTACCACCTTTCTGCCCAGCCCAATTTTCAGCTTTCACCGCTATCGCACTTGGAATGACAATTGTGCAGTCATACAACACTGGTATATAATCACCGCTGAGTTTTTACCTTTTTGCTAAACAAAAAACAAAAGACTGAGAATTATGAAAACTATTTTTTTTTTTTATTTCTGTTATAAAAGTTTGCAAATAACCTTTCTAAATTTCGGTCAAAATGTATTCTTCGAAAATATCAGTGTATATTATTTAGTCTGTAGGAAAGTTATAGAGTCGACAGACTATGGTCTATATCAGAAAATCAATCAATCCTGCTGTACTGACGGCCTATCTCATTTCTTGAAGGTCGTAAATGCTAGGGCAGGACAAACACCTAAGCACAATTTTGCAACTTTGACATGCGTTACCAAAACTGTACATATCATCACAACTGCTTTGTGCTTCCGGGTGGATTATACCTTGTTTTTTTCAGGACAAATTGGGCTTTCGTTTGGTGGTAAATGGTAATGGATATTTCCTGTTTTTTTCTTTTTTATTATCAAAGAAATCCTGGCCCAAAAAAGTGAAAAAAATAAATAAATAAAAAAATTAAATTTAGTTGTATATTTCTTGCTAGTATCGTAACCTACCACCAAAGAAGAATCCAAAATCGCAACAATACCACATGTGTGTATTTATTTATTTTTATTTCAGGTACTTATATAGCACCATCAATTTACGCAGCGCTTTACACACACACACACAAACATATATATACACACACATATACATATATATATACACACACATTCATACATACATACACACACACGTATATATCAGGGGCGGACTGACCATTTGGAAAATCGGGCACTGCCCGAGAGCCCGGGGTCAGTAGGGGGCCCCATGAGATGCCCCTGGTACCTTTTCATAGGCTTTTTTTCTGAGTTTGGGCAAGAACACAGGGGCCCCATGATCCCCTATTGCACTGGGGCCCCATGAGTCAATCCGCCCGACATATATACATATACACACACACACTAATATATATATATATATATATATATATATATATTATATATACATACATACACACATATACATACATATGTGTATATATATATATATATATATATATATAACATTCACACCGGTCCCTAACCCTCAAGGAGCGTACAATCTAAGGTCCCTAACTTACATTCATATACTAGGGCCAATTTAGACAAGATGCCTTTGGATGCCAGTATGTCTTTGGAGTGTGTTATAGTTGTTGTTTGTACCCGTAGTGCAGCCCAGAAACAACAGTGCTTTGTTTTTATCCTGCCACTAACTGTCACTGATACTATTTAAAAAAAAAAAAAAAAAAACCCTGACCCTGACCTGACACAGACCTAGATCAAACCTTCATCTAGGTATTTTAATTATTTATTTTTTACAAGCAGTTGTTTTTTTTTCTCTCTGAAAGCATAGAAATACAATGTATCTCTTTCCTCCATTCGGAGAGAGAAAACAGGGGCGGGGGAGGCTTCACAGTGACTGATCACTGTGACAGCCAATCAGAAGCCATCACAGCGATCAGGTAACCCGGAATTGGGAGTTCCGGGTCCCGATCATTATAACGGGACCCGGGGCTCTCAGTGACACGCCGGTCTTTGTGCTGGGAATGCGCTGAAAGACAGGTACGCAAATTAGTAGCTCCACAGAAAAAAGCCCAGTTCTGTGAGGCCACTAATTGCATGCGGTCGGCGGCAAGGGGTTGAGGAGACAGTAGATGTATACTGACAAACTAGCTGGTGGGATTTCTCCAGCCCAAGTTATAATTGATATCACACAGAGTAACTGGAAAATATTATTTGGACCTGGCTCACACTGTGATGTGCTACATATGGTCAGCATGGAACCGCCATGCCCGCTACGTACCTCTCATCAGAACATTCTTCCCTGGGTCCTGACAGAACAGAGCGCACAGCTTTGGAATAAGTGCCTGCAGATCATTGTCCACCTTATAGCCTGTAAGGGCTTCCATGAAAACGGCGTAGTTCTCCTGACTAAGACACTGCTTGACGGAAAACAGAAACATGTTGGCGGCACTCTTCTTCTTGCTAGGAGGAGAACGTTCGTTTGGAGTCTGTGGGAAAAAAAAAAGTGGAAGATTGGAGGAAGGATATAAGAAATCTACTAACCACTTCAATACCAGACACTTTCACCTTCTTCCTGTCCAGGCCACAGGACACACTTTGAATGACAATTTCACAGTCATGCAACACTGTACCCAATTTTTATCTTTTTCTTTTTTCACACAAATGGAGCATTCTTTTGATGGTATTTAATCATCACTGGGGTTTTTTGCTATATAAGCAAAAACTTCCAAAAACACTTTGAGAAAAAAAAAAAAAATCTTCTTTTCTATTATAAAATTTTGCAAATAATCTTTCTTCATAAATTTAGGTCAAATTGTATTCTGCTACATTTCTTTGGTAAACATGGACCAAATCAGTGCATATTATGTCGTCTTTGTGAAAATTATAGTCTACAAACTATGGGATATAGTATATTTGAAAATTGATCAATCCTGATGTACTGATGTCATTCTTGAGGCCCTAAACTGCCAGAACAGTTAAAATACCCCACAAATGACCTCTTTTTGGAAAGTAGACAATCCAAGGTATTTATTAAGAGGCATGGCAAGTCTTTTTCAACTTGAAGATATGAAGAAATTAAACACATTTTTTTTTTTCCACAATTAGTTTTTTTTTTTTTTTTCCACATGCGGTTACCAGAGCAGTACAGCGTCATCACTTGACTGGTCTGGAAGTGGTAATGTATGTATGTAAAAAGAAAACTTTCTTATAAAATCCCAATTTTGTTTTCTTTTTTCGCAATTGTTGACACTTTACTGCTCTGGTCACTGTATCGCTCTGGGGAAGTGATCAGAATTTTTTTCAACTATGATTGCTTATAACCGTGATGATCTGATCACTGTTATAAGCAATCATTTTTGTGAATGGCATCCTTTCATGTGCCATTGTATACAACTGCGATAGCTGTGTTTGGCTACAGCCATCACATGGTACAGGTCTGCCGTTATTGGCCCCCTGTACCATGTGATCACTGTTGCAAATCACAGAGATCACAACAGTACACAATGGGGGTTGATATACTTAAGACAAATATCCTGTTCACTGCAAGGGCAGTTGCTCCAGAGCTTAGTGAATGACGTAAAGTGTCACTTTGCAAAGAAGGAGCAAATTGGATCATGCTTTGCTGGGTTTTTTTGCCTTCCTCTGGATCAACTGTGGGTATTGGATTATAACTTTTTTTTTTTCCAATGGCTGAACTGGATGGACTTTTGTCTTTTTTTCAGCCAGACTAACTATGTAGCAAAAGAAAATACCCAATCACAGGCTTGATTGGTCACAGTGATCACATGGTACAGGGGCCAATAACAGCAGACCTGTACCATGTGATAGCTGTAGCCAAACACAGCTATCGCAATAGTATAAAAATAGATAAAACAGCATTTTTAAGTGCACATGATTGGATGAAAGAAATCAACAGAGCTTCCCCTCAGTTCTAGAGCAACTGCACTTGCAGTGCACAGTATATTTGCCTTTAATAAACCCCAATGCATGAACTCAGTTTACACGGCAGCAACTGTCAGACTTCAGATGACACCTGACCCTTGACTCTCAAATAAGTGATGTTAAGTTGTGAAAACGTGCCTATTAAAGTTTTGTGTTTGCTTCCTTATTTAAGTGCTCCTAAACCCAAACACCCTCCAGATATAAAGCACGCTGTGACTAGAGCCTGCGCATTCTTGGCCATGCTGTGGCTGCAATTTACATAACACAAGATTATAGCTTCTGGGATTTCTTAGAAATACACTGAGGCACCTCTGGTCCTTGCTGTACTTTTTCAAAAAACTGTTTAAAAGGTTAAGAGTACAATTTAACCACCAAAAAAATCTTAATGCCTGAAACCAGTTTTGTAACTTTGATATGTTTTAGTAAAACTACATATCTTTGCAACTACTCAGGGCACCCAGGAGAATTATACCTTGTTTTGTTTTGTTTTTTTTTTTTCATGAGCCTTCATTTGCTGGTAAATGGTAATAGACATCTTATTTTTCTATTAACCACTTCCAGTCAGGACACTTTCACCCCCTTCCTGTCCAGGGCAATTTTCAGCTTTCAGCGCTATCACACTTTGAATGACAATTGCGCGGTCATGCAATACTGTACCCATATGAATTTTTTACCATTTTTTTGAGACAGATAAAGCTTTATTTTGGTGGTAATTATTCACCGCTGGGATTTTTATTTTTTTTTGCTATGTAAATGAAAATGTCCAAAAAATTTTAAAAAAAAAAAAAAGTGTTTTTCCTATAAAATTTTGCAAATAAATAATCTTTCATCATAAATCTTGACCAAAATTTATTCAGTTATATTTTTAGTTGAAAAAAAAATAAGCCAAATTAGTTTTATAACCAAAAATTATAATTTTTAAACATTTTTTTTACATTTTTATTTTATATTATTATTTATGTTTTTTTTTTTTTTTTTTACATACTGTCACCCTAGCAGTACAGTGTCACCATGGTGACACTGTACTACTTGTGGGGGTAATGAAGATTTTTTTTTTTTTTTTTTTTTACAGTGATTGCTTTTACACCCATATAGGATGTAAAAGCAATCATTTCTCTTTCTCTCTGTCTGCATTCTTGCAGCCATTGAGAAATACTGAGTGAGCTGTGATTGGTCACACCTTGTCACATGGTACAAGGCTGTTGTGAATAGCCTTGTACCATGTGACCTCTGTGATCATTCACAGATTTCACACGTAGTAAGCAAAGATGTCAGAAGTGACATCTTGCTTACTACTTTCATGTGATCACTGATTGGCCTATCATTTATCACATGATCGGGACCTCGTACAGAGGTCCCGTCCGACGATCGGTGTTTCACTGTGTCCGGAGAACACAGCAGGCACCGGATCGCGGTGCTGCGCGCTCCCAAGGAGCGCACACAGCTAGAAAAGGCGGGTGCCATTTATGAACGGCAACCCACCCCTGGAGTGCCACCGCCCTGCCGTTTATAAACAGCAGGCGGACGGCAAGAGTTTAAAAGGTAAACTCCACCCCCGTCTTATGTCTCTCAATGAGAGCGAGATCTGGGTGTCTCGATTGCGGCAGAGGATTGGCGTAGAGCCTGGGGGATGGTGGCGAAATGTTCAATCAATACAGTCGCTCTTGAGGCAGCCTACAAAGTTCTCCTGTGGTGGTACTGGGTCCCGGCTCGGACTGCTCACTTTATTCCGACTGGCGGATGTTTCCGGAACTGTGGTCTACGCGGGGACGTCTTGCACATTTGGTGGTCGTGCCCGCGATTGATAGGCTTCTGGTCTAGGGTTTTTGATTTGCTACAAACACTATTTCATATTACGGTCCGTAGGGATGCAAGGGTGGACCTCCTGCAGTGCCCAATTGTGGGTCTGTCTAGGTCTCAGCAGAAATTGGCATCCTACCTATTTATTTTGGCCATTTCATTATTTGGCTAATACAAGTCAGCAGGATGCATCTGTTTACGTGGTATTGTTCTTCTCTGCCCCTGCGTGGGCGTATCTTGAGCTTGTTGTATTCTTAAAACAAAAAACTTTCTTAAGAAAAATATTGAAACAGAAAAGGGAAACTCATCCAAAATAGTTAAAAAAATATATATATTTTTTGGCATTTAATGTTTCTCACCATTACATAACCCACCACCAAACAGCCCAAAATAACTTCCCTTATGACGATTGCAGTGACACCATGCTGATGATTTGCTAAAACTAAGAATGCAAAATCTAGTGCAGCTGTATTTGGTAACCAATCAGCTTCTAACTTCAGCTTATTCAATTAAGCTGTGATAATTAAAGTGTTACTAAACCCCGGGCCCTGCATTCAATATATCCGCTCTCCCCGGACCCTGCATTCACTATATCCGCTCTCCCAGGACCCCGCATTCACTCTATCTGGTCTCCCACAGTACACAGAACATGGAAGTGCAATTATTTTAGTAAATATAAACTGCTAAATATCTATTCTCATCAGCAGTTAGAGCAGTCTTGTGACTTCTATCAGTGTCCAGCTGAGCACTGGTTAAAGCTTGTAGGAGGGGTTTTCACTTTGCTCTAGGAGGATGCAGAACCCCTGACCTGTTTCTGGACAGTGCGGATTGGCCCTCTGCTGATCACATGCACTCTACCAAGAAAGAAAAAAAAACTTTCTAGCTACACACACTAAACTGAGCATGTGTAGAGTGACTCCACACCATATGTCTGAATCAGGAGATAAAGGGGAGCACTGGAAAAAGGGGAGGATCATAGAAGAAAGGATCAAACGCCCTTTTAACACAATGCAGAGGATTAACCCCTTAGGTTCCACAGTGAGTATAACAAGCATGCTTTACTGCATATACAGACTGATTGTACTGTTGTGGGTTTAATAAAACTTTAAACCTAGAAGCTGAGTGATTTCTATGCACAGCTGCACCAGATTTTGCACTCTGTTATTTTTTTATTATTATTTAAATCAACCCCCCACGTATGCTCATATAATTGGTTGTTGATACCCATAGTTGAGCCAAGAAACAAATATGTGAAGTTAGATTTTTTTTTATCCTACCTAAACTGACCATGGCCTTTGTACCTGCCTCTAATCCTGACACTGACCCTGACCTAGATCAAATCCTGATCTCGTTTTTTACTTTTTTTTTTTTTTTAATTTACGCAGACTTTTTTGTTTACATTTTTCTTCTCTAGCAAGCAGAAAAAGACACAATGGGGTTGATTTACTGAAACTGGAGCCTGCAAAATCTCGAGCAGCTCTACATAGAAACCAATCAGCTTCCAGGTTTTTTTGTTAAAGCTTAAAAATCGAACAAGCTAAAGCTAAAAAAAATGATTGACTACCATGAGCAGCTGCACCAGATTCTGAGTGCTCCAGTGTTAGTAAATCTCCCCACAATATATCTTTTTCTTCAAGTGGAGAAAATGTAGGGGGGAAGGTTGTACAGTTACCAATCAGAGGCTATCGCAGCGAGCATGTGATCGAGAGCTAGTCCTCCCAGCTCCAGATCTTTAGTATGAGACCCAGAGCTGTCGATGACAGCTCGGTCTCTTTGCTGGGTGCACGCTCTGCAGCACAAACATAGGGTCCCACAGAGGAAGACCCACGCTATGTGCAGACACTCGTTATCACACGGTTAAGCATCAATTATCAACTGAACCACATGTTAATCATTTGTAAATGTCAAACACAAACAAATGTGTACACACAAACAAAATGTTCTTTTGACAAGGCTATTTCACAACTTCAGAAAACCCTGACCTTGTTTTGAACAATTTTGATCTTTTTCTTTCCTCCTCTTCTCTCATCATCCAGTCTCTTATCATTCTGTAGAGATAATGTGGACAGACGGGTAGACTGTAATGATAGGAAAAAGAAAGATAACAAATGTTTCCTAGAACGATATCCAGAAATATGAGCCTAAAAAAAAAGTCACACTTGTCATTGTCACCTTCTCATCCGAGTTCAGGTCCTCATGAAGTTTCTTTTCACTGTGATCCAGTGCATCCAGTAGGCTAGCCGGGCGGTGGGTGGTGACCCCTAAAATCTGTTCATACCCGTCGCAAAAGTCAGACTCTTGGCTTCCCTCTAAGACGTAAAAACACAAGTCATACACAATTTGCACATATGACAAATTCATTCAAGTAGACCTCAAAAAGTGCAGATTTGCTATGTTATAAGAAACATCTGGAATGTTAATGGTGCTGTAGCACCATGAAAAATGTACCCGTGTCCGGAAACCCTCCTGAGAAACAGAACTGCTCTTCTTGCTGATAGGTTATGCTTGAGCCTCCTCATAGCTGTAAAGCTACAGTATGAGACAGTGGCGTCCCTGGGGGGGGGGGGGGGTGCGGGCCGCACTGGGTGACGCCATCACAGAGGGTGCAGGAGCAGGATGCCAGCAGAGCTTCTAGACTCTGTGAAGGTCCTGGACAGTTATTGGGGATTCCCGGCACAGGGACAGTTGCCCCCGATGTAGCGGTAAAATGAATATCCCGTGAAGATATGTATCCTCTGAAGCAACTGCGGTTTCAGGCTGAAGAAGCCGATCGCCGATCTCCGACTTTAGCACAGAGATGCCACAGTTAACCCCTTACAGGCTGCAAACCGCTGAAGCTGATCCCGCGGATCACTATGGGTTGCAGAATCAGTTAACCTCATATAGGTTGCAAGCCGATGATCCCCGCATGATGGATCTCATCTTCGGATTGGGGGGGGCATAATGGATCGGAGTGAGGACAGTGAAATGAGGGGGGGTGTTGCAATCCATAGCGATCTGCAGGATCAGCTCAGCAATTTGCAGCCTGTAAGGGGTTAACTGTGGCAGCTCTGTGCTAAAGTCGGAGATCAGCTTCTTTGGCCTGAAACTAGTACATGCGCAGTTGCTTCAGGGGATATGTAGCTTCACAGAATACTCATTTTACCACTACTCCAGCACCGCTCCTTCCTCTCTGGAGGGGTGACACCACGTGTTACCACACCGGGTGACACCAAACCTAGGGACGCCTCTGGTATGATACCATCTAAGGCACTTCTGCCACTCATTGCTAGTCTCAGGAAATTTAATGAAGTGACTGTTCTGCTCATGGTTCTTCTTGCTGGAGAAGAAACTATACATAAAGAAACTGCAGTGATAGGATCTCCCTTCTTCTGTTTCATTCAGTCCATGGGCTTGGGAGTCCAACTCTCCTTGAGATTATTATTTATCAACACACCCCCCCCTTTCCCCCACTCATCAGATCAGCAATCATTTAAAGGAAATGGCAACATGAGGAAGCAAAGTCCCACCTCCAATTAGATGTTCGTCACCAATACAGTGATAGGTGCTAAAAAAAAAAAAAAAAAAAAAAAAAAAAAAAAAAACCAGCACTGACACTGTACTAATGGCACTGGGCAGGAAGGGGTTAACATCTAGGGCTATCAAAGGGTTAACTGTGTGCAGGGAGTGTTTTACTACGGGGCGGGATGTGTGTGATTCACTGTAATCACACTGCTGTGGATGGCTGTGCTGTGCAGTGTGCCCAAGCTGACAGGGAGGAGGACTGTTAGTAAACAAAATAGTCCTCCTCCCAATGGTGATCCTTGGAAATCACTGGGCACCGGTGAGAAATTACCACCCGGGACCTGGTGACTGACAGCCGCGGCTGCAAATGGCGGTGCAGGTAGGGTCCATGCACGGCTCGCGAGCGCCCCCTACCCGGAAATGCGAAATCATGTATATATACGTGATTTTGTGCACCCATTCCGCCCTGTAGCAGTATTTCTGCTATAGGGCGGTCGGGAAGAGGTTAAGGAATATACAGCCAGATCATCTTCCCCCTACCTCCATCTCTCTTCCGCTTTAAGCTTGGCACATGAGAGTCCAGCGTCTTTGCTTTTTTGAAGATATCACGAAGGCTGGATGATGCATGAGAGGACTGAGAGAGTGCAGAGGAGTCCAGAGATAACACAGAATGACCGCCATCTTTTGGAACCTTCTGGGGTGCAGGAGGAGGCATCTACATAGGAGACAAAAAAAAAATGGTGAGCTGCCGCTTCAAAAGAAACTCTGCCTTTTATCTATTTGATTTTGAAAAGAGAAGTTAAAATAAGTTACTTTTTGAACTCTAGCGCCACTAAGGTGATCATACGCTAGTTCTGCTTTTAATCAAATACCCATTTGCTTTGTTTACTCACAATTTTTTGTGCTACACGGAAGAATTGAGACACGTCACGGATGATATGACCAAAATTGTCATAAACACGTAGGTAGGGACGGACCCAGGAGGGAAGTTGTGAGCGAGAATCGCTATGAGTGAACCTGCGCAAAAGAAAAAAAATTTAAAAAAAATCATATAGCAGACTTCATGTACAGAAAAATAACAATCTTGTGATCGCTGAATGAGATGGGGAGCGTGGCATCACTGCCAATCCTCTCCACATCGTCCTATCAGAGAACATTTTGGATTCATTCAGAAAATGCGACCTCTACAATCATACATGTAGCTGAACTTTTGATGGCATTAAAAAAAAATGTGGTAATCTACATATCAAAAAATAATTAAAATCACAGATCTCTTTATTAACCCCTTCCCTTCCGGCCCATGTACATAAATGACCGGACAAGAGCAGTGCAGGAGCGGGTGGCCGCTTATAAATGGCCTCCGCATTCACTGCCTGTGCGTACTCCCCAGGAGCGCGTGGTATTGTGATTCATTGCCCGCTGTGTCCTCCAGACACAGCGGAACACCGATCGCTATACGGGACCTCTATATGAGCTCCCGTTTCATGTGATCACTGACTGGACAATCAGTGATCACAGAAACAGTAGTAAACAAGATGTCACTTCTGACATCATTGCTTACTGCTTGTGAAATCTGTGAATGATCACAGAGATCACATGGTACAAGACTATTCACAACAGCCCTGTACCATGTGACAAGCTGTGACCAATCAAAGCTCACACAGTATTTCTCAATAGCTGCAAGAATGCAGCCAGAGAGAAGGAGAAATGATTGCTTTTACAGCCTTTATGGGTGTAAAAGCAATCAGTGTAAAAAAATGAAAAAAAAATTCTACATCACCCCCCCACACAAGTAGTACAGTGTCACTGTACTGCTAGGGTGACAGTATGTTATATATATATATATATATATATATATATATATACATGCATATACATATATAATAATATTAAATAATTAAATAAAAATTTTTTTTGAAACATTATAATTTTTGGTTATAAACTAATTAGGGTTATTTTATTTCTTTTTACTAAAAAGGTAAATGAATACATTTTAGGCAAGATTTATGAAGATTATTTATTTGCAAAATTTTACAAGAAAAAAACACTTTTTTTTTTCAAAATGTTTGGACTTTTTTAATTTATATAGCAAAAAAAATAAAAATCCCCGTGGTGAATAAATACCACCAAAATAAAGTTTTATCTGTCTCAAAAATGCTAAAAAATTCATATGGGTCAGTGTTGCACGACCGTGCAATTGTCATTCAAAGTGTGATCGCGCTGAAAGTTGAAAATTGGCCTGGGCAGGAAGGGGGTGAAAGTGTCTGGACTTGAAGTGGTTAAACAAATTTTATAAAACCACACATCATTGCTATTCCGACATCCAACATTCAATACAATATACCCCTATTATTTCCATGTTACATAAGTTACAGATGTCTCTTGCTTAGAAGTAGTAAACTTCATATGGAGTGACCCAACGCGTTTCGACCACTTGTTTTCTTCAAGGGTACATATGGTATATCGTATGATACAAAGACCACAGAACGCTTTCAGCTATGTCGGTTACAATGTGTGAACTGATGCCATCACATGACCCACACTGGGACCCACCACGCCCATGAACTCTGGAGGACAGTCAAAAGGGTTGCCATTAATGGCAACAATTGGAATATTTGTCCAGACTGCCTACACCTTCATGGGTATACAAGGTCATAAAGTTGTCAAAATAATTTTTGTAATGTTGGCACAGTGTGGCATATAGCAATATATCAGAAAATGCAAATCAGCTCCTGTGCTGATTGGCTGATCTCCTGTGTTCACAATGTATCATCAGGCCAGCAGGTCACCACAGGACACGGAAACAGGTGGCGATCACTACAGCAGCGGCGTCTGCTTCTGTGAGTAGTCCAAGCTGGGCCAATGTAAGTATGTACTAAATGTCCATACCTGGAATTTCTGTTTTACCCCAGGTTCACATATAGGCGGCCGCGTTTTGCAAGGGGCACGAGAGCCCATTCATTTGAATAGACTCCCGTGCCATGCAGGGAAGAAGTCCTTGCACTTCTTTGGAAAACGCAGCCCGCAAGGGAACCTCAGATCCCAGTACGGTTGCGTTTACCAGTGCGGGCGGCGTGCCATTAGAACTAATGGCACCCGCCCATGGGTTCTCATTTCTCTGTGCGGGTGGTGCGGCTGCATGGATTTTTGTACGAATCCGCAGCGGCACCACCCGCACCGATCTAAACCGGGGGTAAAGCTGTATTAAACCCAAAACCAAAAAATTTTATATATTGCAGCTTATCAATCATTAGATGTGGTGGCTGCATCAGTTTTCTTTTTTTAGGCTTTTTTCTCTCCGTTTTCACCTGGTGATCTGCCCAGTAATACACTTCCTGTATTAGCAAGACACCACTCAGGATATAAAATAAATGTAAATAAATAAAAGCTGATCATTTTTATCACCCCTGCCAGTGGTAAAAGTATTAACTCATCCATGTACACTGATACATCCTGCTGGAGAGCTTGAGCTTCTGAAAAACAGTAGACTTGCTGGCTGAATTACCAGATGAAAATAGATGTGATGGCTGCATTAGTTTTCTTTTTTAGGCTTTCTTTCTTCTAAGAATTGGTAAGCTGCAATATAATAAAGGTTTGCGTTTGGGTTTAATGCTGCTTCAAGGAAGACTTTAGGGGCAACGTAACTTAAAAAGCAATGTGCAAAATGCGGGCACCTAGGGTTAAGAAATGAGATTTTACTTTTCATTGGCATGCATACCTTGGGAGTCATGTTCTTAATCATTTTTATGAGCTATGTACTGGTATGTGGCTATTAAAACAATTGTGGTCTTTTCATCAGAAGTGATATAAAACACAGTTTATGAGTAAAGGAGCAGCCAGAGCAAATATTGAATCACTGACTTTAAGCCTGGGTTCACATATATGTGGTGCGGTACATCGCATGTGATTCGCACAGGGACTGCACCGCATTCCTGTATGCATCACATGCGATTTGTGTGCAGTGCGATTGGAGCCATACATTTTGCATGGCTCTAATCCCACCGCACCTGCACCAAAAAGGTGCAGGACCCTTTTTTTGGGAGGGAGTCCTCCCAGAATCGCGTACTGTGCACGACCTGTGATTGCTGTGTCCTTTGAACACAGCTGATCACATGGCTAAGGAACCGGCCAATCACAGCCACTTTTACCATGTGTCTAGCTGTAACTAGGAAATGCCGGTTATCGGCAGTCCTCTCCTCACGCTGACAGCACATGAGGAGAGGAGAGCCAGTAAGTGGCATTTCGCAGGGGGAAAACATCTACACTGATCATCAGCACACTGATAATCAGTGCGGCCAATAGTGCCCATCAGTGCTGGCAATCAGTGCCCATCAGTTAATCAGTGCCGCCAAGAAGTATCCATCAGTGCCGCCTAACAGTGCCCATCAGTGCCGCCTAACAGTGCCCATCAGTGCCGCCTAACAGTGCAGCCTCATCAGTGCCCATCAGTGCAGCCTCATCAGTGCCCATCAGTGAAGGAGAAAAAATTACTTATTTACAAAACTTTATAACAGAAACTAAGAAAAACCTTTCTTTTTTTTCAAACTTTTTGGTCTTGTTTAGTTTGTTTAGCAAAAAAATAAAAACCCCAGTGGTGATCAAATACCACCAAAAAAAAGCTCTATCTGTCTCAAAAAATGCTAAAACATTTTTTGGGTACAGTGTTGCATGACCGCGCAATTATTCAAAGTATGAGAGTGCTGAAAGCTGAAAATTGGTCTGGGCAGGAGGGGGGTAAAAGCGCCCTGTAGGCGAGGGGTTAAGTACCTTTTGTTTTGATAAACCTGGAATGTATTTAGCTGATTTAAACTGAGAGCTGAACTGGGCTTTACAAGGAGAGGGATGACCTCACTACTGAACTGCTTCCCTCTCACTGACCAATCACAGGTTGGAGTGGGTCGGTCCTTGACCAGGCTGTATAGCTTATTTGCACTGTAGTTTCAACTGAGCTCAAAGACCTAACTGTGCTGTCTGGCATGAGTGCTTGGATCATAAGACTGGCTGAACATATCATTTGGCAAGAAATAGAATGATATGGCTATATGCCATACATTTCAGTAATGAGGATGATGATGTTTCGAAATGTTATCTTTTCTATAGCTCCTTCTGGTAAAGTGTCATTTGGACTTTATATACGGTGTGTATGAACAGTTCCACAGAGCCTCAATTTTAAATGACATCACATCTCTTTTTACTGACCCTTTGAGCCAAGCAATTACATCAAAGAATGTTTAAAGCCACCAGTTTCTTCTTAATTATTAGGAAGTCTCTGCTGGAACCTTGAAAATTTTATTCACATCTGGGCAGGATTAGGGTAAAAGCAAGTACCTTTTGTTTTGATAAACCTGGAATGTATTTAGCTGATTTAAAGAGAGCTGAAACAAGGAGAGGGATGACCTCACTACTGAACTGCTCTGGATTATTTGAAACTGAGCTCAAAGACCTGTTCTGTCTGGCATGAGTGCTTGGATCATAAGACTGGCTGAAATATCATTTGGCAAGAAATAATAAATGATATGGCTATATGCCATACATTTCAGTAATGAGGATGATGATGTTTCGAAATGTTATCTTTTCTATAGCTCCTTCTGGTAAAGTGTCATTTGGACTTTATATACGGTGTGTATGAACAGTTCCACAGAGCCTCAATTTTAAATGACATCACATCTCTTTTTACTGACCCTTTGAGCCAAGCAACATCACCAAGAGAATGTCTGGATTATGAAAGACCAGTTCTCTTTTAATTCTTAGGAAGTCTCTGCCTTCCTCAGGAACCTTGAAAGTATCTTTATTCACATCTTCCAGAAAACGAAGACGTATAGGGTAAAATAACACATTCACAAAGGATGTTCTGTATTATAGAAGCAGAAAAAGGACAGATCACTCTAATTCAGGAAATAGAAAAGGATTAGCAAGTCTTTTGAAGGTGGACCAGATGTTTTCAGTAGAAGCATTTTGGCAGAGGACTGGGAAGATCCGGTGCCACTGCTTGCAAAAGAAGATAATGCAGATGGGCTGTAAAGGGGCTAGTTTAGTAATAGATAACAATTCAAGAGTTGTGTTGGGTTGGCTTAGTTTTAAAACATTAAAGTGTATTTAGATATCGAAAGACAGAGAGTGAATAGAGAGAGAGAGGGGGGAGGAGTAGAGAGAGAGAGGGGGGGGAGAGAGGGGGGGAGAGGGGGGGAGTAGAGAGGGGGGGGGAGAGAGGGGGGAGGAGAGAGGCGGGGAGAGAGGGGGAGGAGAGGGGGGGAGAGAGAGAAGGGAGAGAGAGAGGGCGAGGGAGGGAGAGAGAGAGAGAAGGGGGGAGAGAGGGGGGGAGAGGGGGGGGAGAGAGAAGGGGGGGAGAGAAGGGGGGGAAGAGAAGGGGGGAGAGAAGGGGGGGAAGAGAAGGGGGGGAGAAGGGGGGGAGAGAAGGGGGGGAAGAGAAGAGAGAGAGAGAGAGAGAGAGAGAGAGAGGGGGGGGGAGGGAGAGAGAGGGGGGGGGAGAGAGAGAGAGGGGGGGGAGGAGAGAGAGAGGGGGGGGAGGGAGAGAGAGGGGGGGGAGGGAGAGAGAGGGGGGGGAGGGAGAGAGAGGGGGGGGGAGGGAGAGAGAGGGGGGGGAGGGAGAGAGAGGGGGGGGAAGGGAGAGAGAGGGGGGGGAAGGGAGAGAGAGGGGGGGAAGGAGAGAGAGGGGGGAGAGGGAAGAAGAGAGAGGGGGGAGAGAGAGGGGGGAGAGGAAGAGAGAGGGGGGAGAGGAAGAGAGAGGGGGGAGGAGAGAGGAAGAGAGAGGGGAGGGGGAGAGGGGGGGAAGAGAGAGAGAGGGGGGGAGGAGAGAGAGGCAGAGAAGGGGGGGAGAGGGGGGGGAGGCAGAGAAGGGGGGGAAGAGAGAGGGCAGAGAAGGGGGGGGAGGCAGAGAAGGGGGGGGGGGAGGAGAGAGAGGCAGAGAAGGGGGGGGAGAGAGGGCAGAGGGGGGGAAGAGAGAGGGGGGGAAGAGAGAGGGGGGGAAGAGAGAGGGGGGGAAGAGAGAGGCAGGGGGGGGGGGGGGGGGGGAAGGGAAGAGAGAGGCAGAGGTGGAGAGGAAAGAGGGGGAGAGGGAGTATGGTTTTACTGCAATTATCATCCGACAATCACAACAAACCACACCATGAGAAGTTTGATGCCCAAAAGAAGCTCCTACTCCTTTTTGGGTGACAAGCTTATCACAATGCGGTTTTCTGCGCAGAAAGAAAGAAAGAAAAAGAGAGAAAGAAAGAGAAAGACAGAGAAAGTTAGAGACAGAAAGTGATATAACGAGAGAGAGAGGGGGGGGGGAAGAAAGAGAGAGAAAGAAAGGAAGAGGGAGAGAGGGGGAGGGGGAGAGAGAGAGGGAGAGGGGGTAGGGAGAGAGAAGAGAGAAAGAAAAAGTGAGAGAAAGAGAGAAAGAGAGAGAAAGGTAAGAAAAAGAGTGAAAGAGAGAATGAAAGAAAGAAAGAGAGAAAGAGAAAGAAAAAGAAAGAGAAAGAGAGAAAGAAAGGAAGGAAGGAAGGGAAGGAAGGGAAGGGAAGGGAAAGGAAAGAAAGGAAAGGAAAGAAAGGAAAGAAAAAGAAAGAAAAAGAAAGAAAGAAAGAAAGAAAGAAAGAAAGAAAGAAAGAAAAGAAAGAAAGAAAAGAGAAAGAAGAAGAAAAAGTTGCCTTACAGGAAGTTGTGTGTTGGAAATATCTCCCCTGGGGTCAGTACTTTTATCTTCAATAAACGCAGAGTTGGAAAGTTCATGAAAAGTTTACATACCTGTCTGAGTTATTTCTGAACATCTTTAAAATAATACAAATATATAACTGGTCATTTAGTCTACAAATATGTCAGCTAGGAACTCCTTATTGTTCTATATTAATTCCCCTTCACTTCAAATTTGTATTTCCTGCATGCAAATGAAGGACATCAGCCTGTTAGGGCCAATAGAAATGTACGGATTCACAAACAACTTTGAGGAACTAGATGGAGGAAAGAAGTCAAACTAAATACCTGATGACCTGACCTACCAAAGAGACCAAGCCTTGGAAAAAACAGGTGATTTTCAGAAGGACAATTATCCAAATAATAGCCTCCCTTATAGCATGAAAGAGGAACTAATCACTCATAAAAATATTGCCAGGAGGCAGCTTTTTTTCTTGGAAGAAAAGATATGTAAAGTCCTTCTGCTCATAAATTTCTTCTGGCACTTTTTGGCAATTTTTATTAAGTGTACACTTTCTGCAAAGTACGAGCAATGCCTTGTACAATCTGCACACCATGCTGGGAAGTTGTAAAATAGTGACATCTACAATATGGGTGCACGAAGTTTCCTTACCTGTGATCGCACAAAAAGATGGCACCAAAGTCTTGCCGATGTCGGATGACTCTTCCAATGGCCTGGTTTACAGCTCGTGAAGCCTGCTGACGATACCAGTCCTGCCCGGACAAGTACTGTGGAGAGAATGTACAACCCTACTTATCTGGATGCTTATATATCAGATTTTGTGAAAAGCATTGCTTTAAAGAGACACTGTCACCTTGCCTAAGTTAAAGTGACAGCGTCTGTGCTAAGGCAGCCAATTGCTAGGCTCAAGCACGGTCATATGACATTCACTGCTCCCCTTCGCATCTGACACCAGCCAACCCTTGGTGACAGTGAGGTTGGGCAAGGTGCCAGTGAGGTTAATTTACTAAAGGTAAATAGACTGTGCACTTTGCAGGTGCAGTTACTGCAGAGCTTAGTAAATGATGGGAAGCTCAGCCGACTTTCATCATCCAATCATGTGCAAGTAAAAATGCTGTGTTTTTTTTTTATTTTCCTTGCATGCAATTGGATATTCTTTGCTAATTGAAGCTTCACCTCATTTACTTAGCTCTGGAGTAAATGAACTTGCTGAGTGGACAGTCTATTTGCCTTTAGGAAATCAACCTCCAATGTCTCCATTTCAAAACAGAAATTGTGTTTTTCTAGGCCAACTCCAGGAAAAAAAGATTTTTTATTTGTATAGACTTAGGTAAAGTAAATATTTCTATCAAGCTTTTATAACTCTGTATAACCACACTGGGGAGATTTGACCTCACTTCCTGTACATGTGACTCGAAGGTTAGATTCACGTGTATGCATTCCCTGTGTGCCATGCAGCAGCTCATTAATTTGAGTGGGCTGCTGTAGCTGCAGAAAATGCAGGGGAAAAGTCCTTGCATCTTTTTAAAACTGCAGCCACAGGGAAAACACATGGTGAGTTTGCACCATGCAGTTTCGTGCACTCAAAAACTGTGTTTTCAAATGCATGGGGGGGGCATGAAACATTACCGGCATCCCAGCTTGTCTGCAAAAGAGCAGCATGTTTCGTAAGTGTGTGAGAGATTTACACACCTTCACCTGATGTGAACCTAGGACAGGGCTCTCCAAACTTCCTAAACAAAGGACCAGTTTACTGCCAGTTTACTGTCCTTCATAGTTTAGGGGCCACACTGTGGCCAGAGGGAGTAAAAAATGCCCCAACGTCAGTGGGAGTAATCAATGCCCCAGCATTGGTAATAGTGTCCTCTTGTTGGTATCAGTGGGAGTAATAGAGTCCTCTTGTTGCTGGCATCAGTGGGAGGAATAGTACCCCATCATTGGTGTCCATTGTGGATGGAATAGTGTCCCATCATTGGTGTCCATTGTGGATGGAATAGTGTCCCATCATTGGTGTCAGTTATGGACGGAATAGTGCCCCATCATTGGTGTCAGTTGTGGATGGAACAATGTCCCATCATTTGTGTCAGGTGTAGATGGAATAATGTCCCATCATTGGTATCAATTGTAGATGGAATAATGTCTCATCATTGGTGTCAGTTGTAGATGGAAATAATGTCCCATCATTGGTGTCAATTGTAGATGGAATAATGTCCCATCATTGGTGTCAATTGCAGATGGAATAATGTCCCATCATTGGTGTCAATTGTAGATGGAATAATGTCCCATCATTGGTGTCTGTGGAAGGAATGGTGCTCCATCATTGGTATCAGTTGTGGATGGAATGGTGCTCCATCATTGGTGTCAGTTATGGATGGAATAGTGCCCCATCATTGCTGTCCTTTATGGATGGAACAGTGTCCCATCATTGCTGTCAGTTATGGATGGAATAGTGCCCTATCATTGCTGTCATTCGTGGATGGAACAGTGTCCCATCATTGCTGTCATTCGTGGATGGAACAGTGTCCCATCATTGCTGTCAGTTGTAGATGGAATAATGTCCCATCATTGGTGTCTGTGGAAGGTATGGTGCTCCATCATTGGTGTCATTTATGGATGGAACAGTGTCCCATCATTGCTGTCAGCTGCGGATGGAATAGTGTCCCATCGTCGTTGGTGCCAGTTGCGGATGGAATAGTGTCCCATCGTTGGTGCCAGTTGTGGATGGAATAGTGTCCCATCGTTGGTGCCAGTTGTGGATGGAATAGTGTCCCATCGTTGGTGCCAGTTGTGGATGGAATAGTGTCCCATCGTTGGTGCCAGTTGTGGATGGAATAGTGTCCCATCGTTGGTGCCAGTTGTGGATGGAATAGTGTCCCATCGTTGGTGCCAGTTGTGGATGGAATAGTGTCCCATCGTTGGTGCCAGTTGTGGACGGAATAGTGTCCCCATCGTTGGTGCCAGTTGTGGATGGAATAGTGTCCCATCATTGGTGCCAGTTGTGGATATTTAGGTTTCGGCACCAACATTTTCATTTCGGTGCACCACTACTTCCTGTGCTTTTTTTCTGCCGCTGTCCACTCACTTATAGGTGGTGCATATCCCGGGTAGACATAATTCATAGCCTGCCCTGTGTCCCATGATGTACTCCAAGAAATGGATTTTACAGGTAAGTACAAAAATCCAATTATTGTGAATAAACATAAATGGAGCTGGTCAATTTCACAGTGCATGCTGAGCTACAAGAAAGCATAGCCGATATGGGGCTGTATGAGATAGCAGAGCGATGAAGATATGCCTCATCTGTAATGCATTCAGCATGTGTTTGAACAGTTCTGAATCTGTGATAGGGTCCCTTAAAGGTACCCATAGACAAGATATCACAGTCAATTAGTCAGGTAATCATTTTGTGATCTCACACCATGGTTTATCTAAAATATTGAAAATTAAAAGTACCTTCCCAGTGCGTCCCTCTGTTCTCCTCATCTCATCCAGGAATTGCATCTTCAGGACTACCCGAGGGTCCATTCTTGGTGGAAATGGAAGCCCTGTGATTATCACGCCACGGCCATTGCAATCTGCAAAATCCAAGCCCTCGCTAGCCTGGAATTGGATAGGGCGTTAGTAATACATGCAAAACTGTTTATGTTTGATAAGGTTCAATTGGTGGATAAGGAGCAGGTTATACACACCTTTCCCCGACACACAGCCAGGAAACTGGCCCCGGTGCTGTTGGGTGCTTGTATCTTTTCATAATACGCATCTATCATCTGGAAGACAAGGCAGCATGTGAAAAGGACAAAACATGAGAACATTTATAATGCAGGGTTTTTGTTATACGAGTGGCAGAGGTAGGAACTCCAGATAGATACAGTATAATAGACACTAATAAATCCACCTAAATAAACCTGATCACCCCCCACACAAGTCATATTGTCCCCTAATCACCACCACACCACTTACAGTGTCCCTGATCACCGCCACACCAGTCCCAGTGTCCCTGATCACCGCCACACCAGTCCCAGTGTCCCTGAACACCGCCACACCAGTCCTAGTATCCCGCTGACCACCACATCAGTCCCAGTGTCCCTGAACACCGCCACACCAGTTCTAGTATCCCGATGACTGCCACATCAGTCCCAGTGTCCCTGAACACCGCCACACCAGTCCCAGTGTCCCTGAACACCGCCACACCAGTCCTAGTATCCCGCTGACCACCACATCAGTCCCAGTGTCCCTGACCACCGCCACACCAGTCCCAGTGTCCCTGACTACCACCACACCAGACCCAGTGTCCCTGGCCACTGCCACACCAGTCCCAGTGTCCCTGACTACCACCACACCAGTCCCAGTGTCCCTGCCACACCAATCATATTGTCACCTAATCACTGCCACACCAGTGCCAGTGTCCCTGATCACCACCATACCAGTCATACTGTCCCCTAATCATTGCCACACCAGTTACAGTGCCACTTATCACTGCCACACCAGTTAGGGTCCATGAATGTGCACCTTTTTGGGCCTCTCTATATGGCTGGGCTGTGAAATTGTGTGCTACATAATACATAATGACAATCACCATTAGATCATAAGGGCACCTTCGTTCATGTTCTCCCAATGAACATACACCCTGAAAAGCGTAACGTGCCAGTCAGTCTCTCCCCTTCTATTGAAGCAATCTATACAGTATAAGGGGGGAATGGAGAAAGGCCTGGGGTAGTCAACCAATCATCCCAAATTTCTTTTCATTTAGCAGAGCAATTTCTTTGTTGATATACTAATTTCTCCTTCGACAAGGTCTGATGTACATGAGATATCAGTTCCTTCAAAGAATTTTGGGAGAGTGAGGGGACAACCATTTCTGAGCAATTAACTTACAAGCCTGAAAAAGCACCTAAGCAATTGGAACGCAAGTATCCTCAGGTGATTCCGTCTCCTCTACCATTTTCAGAAGGCAAAGTCTAGGGTCCAGGGTGCTATTTGGAGGGCAGAATTCATGACTGCTAATACATCCTTCCAATATCTATGAAGCTTTGGGCATCTGCACAGCATATGAATGACGTTAGCTGGCCCACAGCCACATCTGGTACACCGAGGATCGTCTCTGCAGTGCCATGTGTGCAATTTCTCTGGGGTATGGTAGACTATGTGCAAGAAAAATATTTCTGTTAACCTTTGGGTAGGGGATAGCGAGACCTGTGGTAGAGCAGACAAAACCATTTTCCACTGGTCATCCCACATGGGGCCCAAGTCTCTAGACCACAGCGTTTTAGCTTGGGAGCAGCACAGAGGATTGGAATTTATAATAAGAAAACAGAAGAAATTTGTAAGATCAGATCACTATTAATCAGCAGGGAAACCTCTGAGGATTTCCTAAGTTGCAGGAGATGTGTACAGACTTGAGGCATGCTTCAGCTACACATACTGGAAAAAGACATTGGTTTGCGAAATGTGAAACTCATCGGCTAGTTATGCAAAAGGTTTGAAAATTCCATTGTAATATAAATGTACCATGTATTGCATCCCCATTGCGATACCATAAGTCAAAGCCTCCGAGTTTAATTCCTCATATTCATAATTGTTGCAAATCAGGGAATACTAAAGAAAGCCATCCACATTAGTAATTTGCTTCATGGCTTGCCAAATCATATCCAACAGCTTCCCAGTAGGGAAGTCGGAGATAAACTGTAACTTTCTAAATTCCAGAATGGCAAAAGGGGATCTCTGTTCAATCTAGTAAGCAAAACACCTTGTATTAGGTTAAGCTCATCCCTTTTATTTCAGCCCATCGGATGTTGCAATTGGGGCGGTAAAAGCTAGGATTTATTATGCGGAATGAGCAGTATTACTGCATCTTGATCAAATATGAGTGTTGTCAATTTTATGCATGGGCTTTTTTTCTTCAAAGAGATAGAGCATCTATTTTTCTAAACCATGTAGACGAAGCCCACATCGGGGAACAGTGAAGGATGTACAGCAGCTGTGAGTTCCAAATCATTTAAATGAGATTTGTTCTCCCGATGAGTGAGAGGTAGTTTACACCAGCTCAAGCTCTTGTCAGGAGGTGCGAGAATAAGAGGGGTATAATCAGACAGGGATTTGGATACATGCACCCCAAGATATTTAAAGTAGACATTGTGGGGGAGATGTACTAAAACTGGAGCACACAGAATCTGGTGCAGCTGTACAAGGTAGCCAATCAGCTTCTAGCTTGTTCAATTAAGCTTTGAAAACAAAACCTGGAAGCGGATTGGTTTCTCTGCACAGCTTTTGCACTCCAGATTTAGTAAAGCTCCCCCATTGTCTCAAGAAGTAGTATAACTTCCTGATGAAGTTATCTGCGAAACATGTGAAGTCCCTACTTGCCCATCATCTTATGAAGACATCTGTAATTTAGATTTAAAAGATGGTATTTTCTCACTTTTTGTGATATGGTGGACATTACCACTACCATGACTACTACCTTAATAGCAGAGTTTGGCTGTTCCTCACCCAGTTTTAAGCCTCCTACACAGCGGTTACGGTTTCAAATAATGGTCACACCGGTCCGACTTTGAAATTTGAAATGAAACCTGGAAGCTGATTGCATAATTTTGGCAGCTCTGCATAGAAACCACTCTCCAGCTTTAGTAAATGGGAATTTGACTGGCCTTTGGTGGTAGCGAGTTCTGAAGGTTATTCAAAGGAGGGAGGGAGGGACTGATTTTCCCCAAATTTATGCGAAAGCCTGAAAAGTATCAAAAGCATTTAATACGGTCCATTAATGCTATCAAAGATCTTTGTGGGGCACCAACGAATAGTAGGGCATCGTCCGCATACATATGTTATCTTGTCCTCTTATTCCCCTTTTAAATCCAGTGATAGATGTGGTTTGTCTAATGGCCATGGCCAGTGGCTCAATGGCCACAGCACTCTCCTGGCATTTTAGGGCCTCAAAAAATGAGTAAGTACATCAGGATTGATGAATTTTCAACTATATATATATATATATATATATATATACATACATATACACATATATACACACATATATACATACATACATACACACACACACGTACACACACACACACACATATATATACATACATACATACATATACATACACACACACACGTATACATATACACAGATACATACACACCATGGTTTGTAGACTAACTTTCACAGAGTAAATAATGTACACTGATTTGGCTTATTCTTACCAAAGACATGTCAAAATGCACTTTGGCACAGATTTATAAAAAAAAAAAAAAAATTCAGCTGCAAAGTTTTGTAACATAAAACAAAGAAAACCGTTTTTTTTTTTTTTTCAAGATGTTCAGTATTTTCATTCACAAAATAGAAAATCCAGTGGTAATAAAATATCTCCTAAAGAAAGCAGTGTCTAAAAAAAAAAAATGATAAAAATGTAATTTGGTGTATAGTGTTGCATGACTGAGTAATTGTCATTCAAAATGTGACAGCGCTGAAAGCTGAAATTTTAATTTGGACTGGAAAGGGAGGAACGTCTGGATTTTAGGTGTCGTAAACGATGTAAACACAAAAGCTGAGCAGGTTGCACGGAGCAAATATTTAGCTGCCTCACCTCAGTAAATGATCCTTTTCCTCTTGGCTCCACAAACATTGGCTTAACATCATCAATTCGGGAGGAAAGTCCATTTTCCTGCAAATGAAAGCAGGTTGAGTTTTGAAATTAAATATGATAAATGATGGTACTGCAACGGTATTCGTTCTCTTGGAATACTCAGGCCCTGGAGTTTGTATGCTTTTCCACATCTACAGATTCCCTCCTACAAGCCACCATGGAAATGTATTGGCCCCTGCCTACGCCCATAGAGCTTGCAATCAGTGTAATTTATGAATATAGTAAGATTGGACTCCAAAAAAATAAATAAAGCTTTTTTTGAAGTTGACCTGAGGAAAGTGGCAAAGTTGAAATTCACTCGCTCACTTCATAATTTCATAATTTAGGAGTAGGCACACCCCAGCTAGAATTAGCCGCAGACATTTGTCTTGGCTGAAGACCTCGAACAACCTTTGATACTCAAGGGATTGCTGTTGGACTCACATGGCTGCTTCTTTTCTATAATCATGTTGCATAATTACCTGTTTTTCTCATCACCAATTCGGTTGCTCAGTATGATCCTGATAATCCTAATGTGAACCTTTTTTTTTATAATTATAATAGCTTGTGTATGGTCCTATTCAGGGGCGGACTGACCATTTGAAAACTCGGGCACTGCCCAAGGGCCTGGGGTCAGTAGGGGGCCCCATGAGATGCCCTTGGTACCTTTTTCATAGGCTTTTTTGAGTTTGGGCAAGGACACAAGGGCCCCATGATCCCCTATTGCCCGGGGGCCCCATGAGTTGTCAGTCTGCCCCTGGTCCTTTTGGTGAGTAGATATAGTACTTTACATATTCAAGGAAGAGGAACTATAAGAGGGTAGCTTGGGTTGTAATGATTTTTATTCCCACATTTTATTAATGCAGAAAAGGTTTAATTCTTTTTTTTTCTCTAAAATAAACAAACTTGTCATACTTACCTGGCTCTGTGCAAAGGTTTTGCACAGAACAGCCCAGACCCTCCTCTTCTGGGGTTCCCCACCAGCAGTCTAGGCTCCTCTCCTTCTCAGAGTGCCCCCACAGCAAATCACTTGATATGGGGCACTCGTGCAGGATCAATCCCAAACTGCACTGTGTGCATCTATTGCCCCACAACCAACTCTCTGCTCACAGGATTTGATTGACAGCAGCAGGAGCCAATGGCGCATGCCGCTCCTGTAAGAAGAGGGGAGAGTAGAGCAGTGCTGCTGCACTCAGGCTCAGGGATCGGGCCCAGCTAAGTATTTAAGGGGGACTGGGGGGAGCGGATATTGAAAGGTTTTTTACCTTTATGAAGAAAATGCATTAGACCTCTTTTAACCTTTACAACCATTTTAGGTTATATGTATATTTTGAGTATGGTGAGACCCTTTTAGCTTGTTGTAATTCTTCTAACCAAAAATAATAAATGTGGTTTTTTTTTAGTATATTTTGTCTTCAGAAGTTAATATTCATCACTTCCAAAGAATGCAGAATCCATCATACATAAATTTTAATTTTTTAGACAGTAAGCTCAGATGCAGCAGTAAATGATATGATCTCTGCAAAAACTATCTGCATAACACATTCAATAAAAGGAGTGGGCCATGTCCTCACCTTCCAGAACTCAAGACTTTTATCCATTACAGGATAGGATGGGAAAAAGATCAAGAGCCCATGTGGAACTACACGAGCGATATTACCTACAAACCAAAACAAAGACACTTCATGAGTTCATAGACAGATAAATACATTTAAAGAGGGGCACACATTATTTAATAAATGAAACAAAGTAGGGTCATATTTGTGGATATATCGAGTTAGGCAGGCCGTAGATGATTCGATTGTTCTTTCCAACAACCATGCGTTGCAAGGAAAGAAAATCGGTTGATTCCCCAATCGATGGTGGAATCCCTCCCAATGCGCTATCGTGTTCTGCCAGCAGAAAGCCGTCCCTGCAGGCAAAACGCAATGATTACTGCTTTCGGCTATAGCTGCTGGCAGTAAATCGCATGCAAAAAATCTGTCAGGCTGGTTGTACTGAAGTCGATCGATGGAAAGATTTCAGTACAACCAGCCTGCCCATAGACGGATAGAATTTCGGCCTGTGCTTGTCAAACCGGCCGAGATTTGAACCATCTATGGCCAGCTTCTGTTGAGAGGATGCACAAGTGATTACTAGCATGACAAGCACATGAGATTACAGATTCCTCCGTGTACTATGGTCACCTTCAAAGAAATCTATAATGATTTCTCATAGCACTGAACTGATCATGAGAGATCCAAGGGCGCTGCCACTGCTAAGCTTTTCTAGTTTTGTTCTGCCAGTCAAGTGAGCCAAAATAAGAGTACTGCCAATGAACCCAGAAGTCTAGCATGCAAAATCAGTGACTGACGAAAGAGTCAAACCGTAGAAACAGCATGACTACTAACGTCTAATGTCAGCAATGACCGCAAACAAATTACAAGGTGACTGCATCTAATTACCAGCCTGAAAACAATATTAAAAAAATTTGAATAAAATACTGCATGGTGGGGCTTTGATAAGGGGTGCCACTGTGGGAGAAAGTCGAAAGCTCTGAGTTGGGAAAACGAAATCTGACATGGGAAAAGCGCAGGAGCTGCTGTTGATGACCTGGCCCTGGATATGCTAGTTCCTCTGATATCATCCCAATCCTCCGGCTTTAGGTAACTTCAGTTACCGACCATCACTGAACCAGAATAAAACCTAGATTATGCCTGTGACACTCTTGTACTAAAGTAGAAAAAAAGGCTACACAATAACTTACCTGTTAAATGATTATATTTGCTTATATTTTCCAATAAATTGCTGTTGGAATCACAAGTGACTGCAAAGTATCAGCTGACCTGTGCAAATTGTGCCGAATTCCCTATAGCCGTAAGGCCGTCTCGCAGAGGTCTATAACTCCTAATGTCATAACAAAAAGGGTCGAGTATCTGGCTGCTCATCCCTATATGAATGCATGCACCCAGAGTACCCCCAGTGGGACTTTAATGCAGCAATAGGATCATATATATATTGAAAAAGACATTTGGTTAAAAAAAGACATTTGGTTTTAACCAAATGTCTTTTTCAATATATGTATCTCCCCTCCAGTCCATCATGAATACTGCTGCCAGGCTAATCCACCTTACCAACCGTTCAGTGTCTGCTACCCCTCTCTGCCAATCCCTCCACTGGCTTCCATTCAGTGTCCTCCATCCCTCTCTGCCAATCCCTCCACTGGCTTTCATTCAGTGTCCTCCATCCCTCTCTGCCAATCCCTCCACTGGCTTCAATTCAGTGTCCTCCATCCCTCTCTGCCAATCCCTCCACTAGCCTCCATTCAGTGTACTCCACCTCTCTCTGCCAATCCCTCCACTGGCTTCCATTCAGTGTCCTCCATCCCTCTCTGCCAATCCCTCCACTGGCTTCCATTCAGTGTCCTCCATCCCTCTCTGCCAATCCCTCCACTAGCCTCCATTCAGTGTACTCCACCTCTCTCTGCCAATCCCTCCACTGGCTTCCATTCAGGGTCCTCCACCCCTCTCTGCTAATCCCTCCACTGGCTTCCATTCAGTGTCCTCCACCCCCTCTCTGCCAATCCCTCCACTGACTTCCACTCGCTCAATGAATAAAATTCAACATCTTAACAAAAACTTACAAAGCCATCCACAACTCTGCCCCCAGCTGCATCACCAACCTGGTCTCAAAATATTATTATTATTATTAGTGTTTATATAGCGCCAGTAGGTTTGCTTTGCGCTGTACAATAATATAAACCAAACCGCTCTCTTCCATCCTCTCAAGACCTTCTGCTCTCTAGTTCCCATGTCGCCTCCAGGACTTCTCCCATCCTATGGAATTCTCTACCCCAATCTGTCCGGCTGTCTCCTAATCTATCCACCTTTAGACGATCCCTGAAAACCTTTCTCTTTAAAGAAGTCTATCCCGCTTCTACCTAGTAAAACGCCATTTATTTCCTCCATCAGCTCATCCCCCCTACAGCTATTACCTTTTGTATCACTCAACCCTTCCTCCTAGATTGTAAGCTCTAACGAGCCGGGCCCTCTGTTTCCTCTTGTACCAAATTGTATTGTAACTGTAATGTCTACCTTCATTTTGTAAAGCGCTGCACAAACTGTTGGTGCTATAAATCCTGTATAATAATAATAATATGTATGATCCTATTGCTGCATTAAAGTCCCACTGGGGGTTCTTTGGGTACATACATATAACTCCTAGTGTTATCATTATTGGCTGGGAGAAGAGTTCACAACCACCAGCCGCAGGGAAAGAGTGATGAGCCGGAGCTTTGCGGTCACATGACCACCTAGAGAAACCTAAATTTTAAAAAAGGATTCAGAACGCAGAGAGGATCAGAGCAAAGGAGAAGCATCATTTACCAAATAAGTTTTCTGTAGCCTTTCCTTCAACATTAAAGCCTGGAGTAGCTAGGAAACTAGATTTTCAGAAGGTCACCAACAGCAGCTCTATATCCTTTCTCATAACAGTCCAGTCACTTGATCCTGCAGCTCTGGCTTTCCTGTGACAGTGAGCAGCTGCTGAAGAGGAAAGGAGGGAGCGCCAACAATGGATGACTCCACAGATCACTATGGATGACTCCACAGATCACTATGGATGACTCCACAGATCACTATGGATGACTCGGTTTTCTTAGTTTTATGTTACAAAATTTTGCAAATAAATGTTTTTTTTTTTCCCATAAATCTATGCCAAAGTGCATTCTGACACGTCTTTGGTAAGAATAAGCCAAATCTGTATACATTATTTAGTCTGTGAAAGTTAAAGAGTCTACAAATAGATAGATACAGTGGGGATCGAAAGTTTGGGCACCCCAGCTAAAAATTTGTATTAATGTGCATAAAGAAGCCAAGGAAAGATGGAAAAATCTCCAAAAGGCATCAAATTACAGATTAGACATTCTTATAATATGTCAACAAAAGTTAGATTTTATTTCCATCATTTACACTTTCAAAATAACAGACAACAAAAAAATGGGTCTGCAAAAGTTTGGGCCCCCTGCAGAATTTATAGCATGCACTGCCCCCTTTGCAAAGCTGAGACCTGCCAGTGTCATGGATTGTTCTCAATCATCGTCTGGGAAGACCAGGTGATGTCAATCTCAAAGGTTTTAAATGCCCAGACTCATCTGACCTTGCCCCAACAATCAGCACCATGGGTTCTTCTAAGCAGTTGTCTAGAAAACTGAAACTGAAAATAGTTGACGCTCACAAAGCTGGAGAAGGCTATAAGAAGATAGCAAAGCGTTTTCAGATGTCAATATCCTCTGTTCGGAATGTAATTAAGAAATGGCAGTCATCAGGAACAGTGGAAGTTAAAGCAACATCTGGAAGAGCAAGAAAAATATCAGACAGAACAGCTCGCAGGATTGTGAGAAAAACAATTCAAAACCCACGTTTGACTGCACTATCCCTCCACAAAGATCTGGCAAACACTGGAGTTGTGGCACACTATTCCACTATAAAGAGATACTTGTACAAATATGGTCTTCATGGAAGAGTCATCAGAAGAAAACCTCTTCTACGTCCTCGCCACAAAAATCATCGTTTGAACTTTGCAAATGAACATATAGACAAGCATGATGCATTTTGGAAACAAGTTCTGTGGACCGATGAGGTTAAAATTGAACTTTTGGGCCGGAATGAGCAAAGGTACGTTTGGAGAAGAAGGGGCACAGAATTTAATGAAAAGAACCTCTGTCCAACTGTTAAGCATGGGGTTGGATCAATCATGCTTTGGGGTTGTGTTGCAGCCAGTGGCACAGGGAACATCTCACGAGTAGAAGGAAAAATGGATTCAATAAAATTTCAGCAAATTTTGGATGGTAACTTGATGCTATCTGTGAAAAAGCTGAAGTTAAAGAGAAGATGGCTTCTACAAATGGATAATGATCCTAAACACACCTCGAAATCCACGGGGGATTACATCAAGAGGCGTAAACTGAAGGTTTTGCCATGGCCTTCACAATCTCCTGACCTCAACATAATTGAAAATCTATGGATAGACCTTAAAAGAGCAGTGCGTGACAGACAGCCCAGAAATCTCAAAGAACTGGAAGACTTTTGTAAGGAAGAATGGGCAAAGATACCTCAAACAAGAATTGAAAGACTCTTGGCTGGCTACAAAAAGCGTTTACAAGCTGTGATACTTGCCAAAGGGAGCAGTACAAGATATTAACTCTGCAGGGTGCCCAAACTTTTGCAGACGGCATTTTTTTGTTTTCTGTTATTTTGAAAGTGTAAATGATGGAAATAAAATCTAACTTTTGTTGACATATTATAAGAATGTCTAATCTGTAATTTGATGCCTTTTGGAGATTTTTCCATCTTTCCCTGGCTTCTTTATGCACATTAATACAAATTTTTAGCTGGGGTGCCCAAACTTTCGATCCCCACTGTAGATAGATAGATAGATAGATAGATATGGGAGGGATAGATAGATAGATAGATATGGGAGGGATAGATAGATAGATAGATAGATATATGGGAGGGATAGATAGATAGATAGATAGATAGATATGGGAGGGATAGATAGATAGATAGATAGATAGATATGGGAGGGATGGATAGATAGATAGATAGATAGATAGATAGATAGATAGATAGATATGGGAGGGATGGATAGATAGATAGATAGATAGATAGATAGATAGATATGGGAGGGATAGATAGATAGATAGATAGATAGATAGATAGATAGATATGGGAGGGATGGATGGATAGATAGATAGATAGATAGATAGATAGATATGGGAGGGATGGATAGATAGATAGATAGATAGATAGATAGATAGATAGATAGATAGATAGATAGATAGATAGATATGGGAGGGATGGATAGATAGATAGATAGATAGATAGATAGATGGGGAGGGATGGATAGATAGATAGATAGATAGATAGATATGGGAGGGATAGATAGATAGATAGATAGATAGATAGATAGATAGATAGATAGATAGATAGATATGGGAGGATAGATAGATAGATAGATATGGGATAGATAGATAGATAGATAGATAGATAGATAGATAGATAGATAGATAGATAGATATGGGAGGGATGGATAGATAGATAGATAGATAGATAGATAGATATGGGAGGGATAGATAGATAGATAGATAGATAGATAGATAGATAGATAGATAGATAGATATGGGAGGGATGGATAGATAGATAGATAGATAGATATGGGGAGGATAGATAGATAGATAGATAGGGATAGATAGATAGATAGATAGATAGATAGATAGATAGATAGATAGATAGATAGATAGATAGATAGATATGGGAGGGATAGATAGATAGAGATAGATAGATATGGGAGGGATAGATAGATAGATAGAAAGATAGATAGATATGGGAGGGATAGATAGATAGATAGATAGATAGATAGATAGATAGATAGATAGATATGGGAGGGATGGATAGATAGATAGATAGATAGATAGATAGATAGATAGATCTGGGAGGGATAGATAGATAGATAGATAGATAGATAGATAGATAGACAGATAGACAGATAGATATGGGAGGGATGGATAGATAGATAGATAGATAGATAGATAGATAGATAGATAGATAGATAGATATGGGAGGATAGATAGATAGATAGATATGGGAGGATAGATAGATAGATAGATAGATAGATAGATAGATAGATATGGGAGGGATAGATAGATAGATAGATAGATAGATAGATAGATAGATAGATAGATAGATGACTCCACAGGTCTTGGAAATCACAGCCATTGTCAAGTGCTCCATCACACAGGGGAGCTGGAGCTGCAGGATCATGTGAACGGACTGGATTGAATAAAAAAAAAGCTAAGTATACAGATTTTGTTGATATAGGATATACAGGATGCAGGGAAGAGGGGATGTTTTTAGGAATAGTCAGTGTTAGGCTTTACTACCATTTTAAAGCAATCGTAACTGTCACAGAAAAGCACTCCCAAGGTTTAATTGTATGAAAACTAAATCAACAGCATCTGTTACAAGCTTGACTTTTACAGAAGCTGCCTGTATCTACAGTATATATATGACATTTTAGACGTGTGACTTTGCTTAATCCCATGACTGTGCACATGTTCACTACTTGCTCAAATCTGGATTTCCAAGGTCTTTGACAACTTTACTTTAATACAATGAATCAGATTGTTAAACAATAGACTATTACCAATTGTCTTTCCCAGAGATGATAAGTTATCTGTTGAAAATCTGAAAAAGAGGAAAAGCAGAAATCAACAGGAATGACATCTAGTCACCACAAGACCATTCATCATAGTGCCAGATGATTACACAATAAGCCAAAAGAATTCCTTTCATTTCAGTCCTCCACTAGAAATATACTCTTAGGCTGTCCACACATGCAAATTTTCTTTTCTTCAACTGCAGGTAGATGGAAAGAAAAATCACTTGATTCCTCCATCAACACAGTTGGTGTTGATGGGTGAATCCCTCCCGCTGTGCTATTGTATTCTGACAGTGGGAGGTTTCCCCACCACCAGAATACAATAATCACTGCTGCTGGCTATAACCTGCGGCAGTGATCATATGAAAAAAAACATGACAGCCTGGTTGTACTGAAGTCGATGGATATATTTTGATCCATCTATGGGCAGGCTGGTTGTACTGAAGTTGATCAATAGATTTGGATCCATCTATGGGCAGGCTGGTTGTACTGAAGTTGATCAATAGATTTGGATCCATCTATGGGCAGGCTGGTTGTACTGAAGTCGATCAATAGATTTGGATCCATCTATGGGCAGGCTGGTTGTATTGAAGTTGATCAATAGATTTGGATCCATCTATGGGCAGGCTGGTTGTACTGAAGTTGATCAATAGATTTGGATCCATCTATGGGCAGGCTGGTTGTACTGAAGTCGATCAATAGATTTGGATCCATCTATGGGCAGGCTGGTTGTACTGAAGTCGATCAATAGATTTGGATCCATCTATGGGCAGGCTGGTTGTACTGAAGTCGATCAATAGATTTGGATCCATCTATGGGCAGGCTGGTTGTACTGAAGTCGATCAATAGATTTATATCCATCTATGGGCAGGCTGGTTGTACTGAACTTGATCAATAGATTTGGATCCATCTATGGGCAGGCTGGTTGTACTGAACTTGATCAATAGATTTGGATCCATCTATGGGCAGGCTGGTTGTACTGAAGTTGATCAATAGATCTTGATTTGTCTATGGGTAGGCTTGTTGTACTGAAGTCCATCGATAGATATTGATCCATCTATGGGCAGGCTCGCTGTACTGAAGTTGATCAACAGATTTGGATCCATATATGGGCAGGCTGGCTTTACTGAAGTCAAATCGATAGATTTTGATCCATCTATGGGCAGGCTGGTTGTACTGAAGTAAATTGATAAAAAAAACTGTCTATATGTGATGTGATGTTAAATAAAGGAACACTGATTTTACTTTTCTGCGTATTTGGTCTCTGTGCCCATAAAGTCCACCCCTTTTATAAATAGCATATATCAGGACATGGCACGGTTCTATTTATTGGGTGTGACCTATATCACCCGACGGTTACCCCACATCTTTTCATTGTATTAAATCGATAGATTGACTTCAGTACAACCAGCCTGCCCATAGATGGAACTTGCCCATAGATGGATCGGAATTCATCCGAGTCCTGCTGAACCGTCCAAATTTCAATCAGGATATGGTCGGCTTTAAACTTTCTAGATTGTTATAAAATAAGTTTGTGATTTCAATGACATTTAAAGTGTTAGTGCCTAGAAAAAAAAAATGAAAAAGGTAAACTAACACTACAACATCCCCACCCCCAGTCCCGACTGTACTTACCTCCCATGAGTGGCGTGTTGTCAGTGGTGTCAGTAAGTACGTCGGGGAAAGGTAGGGTATAGGGGGTGTTAGTTCGCCTTTACATTTTATTCTGAAAAGGTGAACTAACGCTTTAATTTTAATAAGTAAAATTACATTTAGAACCCCAGTAAAAACGTAGCCCAAAAGTGTTCTTGTTTCGGACACCAAGAATGGCAGAGTGGAAGCAAGGATAGAGATAATTAATTAATTATAACTAATGAGGACCTGTCATTACCAAACTAATGTAGTACAGCACCTAGTGCACAGGGTACAGAGGAGCAGGTTATAGTATATCTACCATTATACAGTCATTCAGTAATCTAGTTATTATGCTGTAAATTGCTTCCAAATCTTTTAATCATATGTCTAGGACAAGCATTGTGTACAGGAGTGTCAGAATTTCCAGGGTCCTTATCTCTATGCTTACTCTAATTAGGTGACTAAGAAGCCAGCTCAGCAGCCTGATTTCCAGGAAACTAGCTATCTCTAAAAGGAGAGGTTAGCAATGGTAGTCAACATAATACTCTCATGACTAGCGATGTTTAAAGCGGAGTTCCACTCACCCTGTCAAAAAATAAAAGCCAGCAGCTACAAAAGCTGTAGCTGCTGAATTTTTAAAAAACAGCCACTTACCTGTCCCTCGGTTCCACAGTGTGTCCCCCGCAGCCCGTTTCGCCTGCCGTCCTGTATTTCAGGAGGGCGGCATCTTCAGTGTGGGCACCCGCTGTGACATCTTGCGGCTTCACATCCGGGTACCCACTGCGCATGCGCGAATAGCGCTGCGCTTCATGAATGGTCCTGTAGTCTTCTGGAACCTGTCATGTGTCCCAAAAGACTACAGGGAAAGAGGGAGGACACCTTCCGATTCAAATCGCCTAGGCCAGGGGTAGGCAACCTGCGGCTCTCTAGCTGTTGTGGAACTACATTTCCCATGAGGCATTGCAAAAGATTACAAAACTGACAGTTACAGCTATGACTTGCAGAGGCATGATGGAACTTGTAGTCCTGCAACAGCTGCAGGTTGCCTACCCCTGGCCTAGGCGATCGAACCGGAAGTGGGAGCGGGTATCTGTCAAATACGGGTACCCGCTCCCCTCCCGCCCCCCAAAGGTGCCAATCCTTAATGGGGAGTGGGAGAGAAGTCCTAAAAGTGGAACTTCCCCTTTTGAGTGGAGCTCCGCTTTAATCACTCTTTGTGCACCAAAGAAGGAAGGATCCAGGACGCTTGCATATGGCTTTCAGGAACAATATTGTCCCTAGGGTTGTAGTTAAAAGCATTAATCCCTACTGTCCCTGAACTAGCATGTGCCCAACTCTTGCTAAAATCAACTGTGCACAGTATGGGCATTCTAAAACATAAGTGGACACACAGAGACACCAAGAGGGGTATTTACTGAAACTGCAGTGTGCAAAAGCTGCTGCAGCTCTGCATACAAACCAATCAGCTTCCAGATTACATTGTCAAAGTTTAATTGAACAAGCTGATGTTAGAAGCCGATTGGCTCCCACGCACATCTGCATCAGATTCTTAGTACACCCGTTTCTGTAAATCTTTTCCCCCAAGTTACTAACAGGTTCTCTTTAAACGGGGGTCACACACAGCAAGGCATCACTGTGGCACTCAGACCAGGGTAACAAACCTTCTGTCATACGCAGAGCTCAGCTTAGCCCCGTCAGGACCCTGAGGAACAACTCCAACCCAAATCTGGTGTTTCTCTATCACGTGTGGGTTTTCTAGAGACACTCGAAAAGGGCTGAAAAAAATAAAAAAAATAAAAGCTAATAAATAGTACATAACCAGCTATAAGAAATAGGAACGTTCACATTGCTACTCTTGACTGTAGAAATCAGAGAGGGTAGGTCACTACCAAGCATGAAATATAAAAGCATACGTTGAATCTGGCCCGTTTTCCCTCATTCAGCTAAAGCAGGAAAAAGAACTGTCTGAAATTTCATACGATTTGCAAAGCATGATGATATATGGGCCAAATGAATGTTGCTAAGCCAGCCTTTGTTTATTTCCTTGGCAGAGTTATGGTATGTAATGTCATGTGGGGGGGGGGGGGGGGGGGGGGGGGGGGGGGGGGGGGCTGAACAGCACTTGGCGGGCAGTAATTTCTGCCAACGTCCCTTGCCATTGCATGTTGGAGGACATCCCAAACCTCTGCCGGAAAGGAAACCTGACTTAGATATCAGCTGAGTGAGATCCAAGGAGAATAACGACATAAGTGGCTGATGGGTGCTTCATTTTATAGGTACTTTGTAAAAAGAAAAACTGCAAAAAGAACCGCTAAGCTTTAATAACAAAGGATCATCACAGCTAATAAAAGTCTTTTGTTGATTTACAGCCCCCACATTACCACATGCATGTGTTTTATTTGCAATATATTAGCATGGTCTTAGCTTTCTAAAACATAACTGCACTTTAATAATGAATTAAACATTTTCGGATATCCCCACAGCCTCTACACTGCAGCTGATAAACTCACGTTTAGGAGGTGTTCAACGTTTTTTTTCAGCAGCCCCTGAACTCTCCCTAATGTTTTCCTGTGTCCATGTACACATCGTTCATTTACAGGCGTTTACAGGAATTTGAGTTTACAGTAGTTTTTTTTGAACGCAGAAAAAGCAATGAAAATATTTTTTAATGCTTCCAGTTCCCGATGCTGTCCAGAAGCCTTTACCGATTATGAAAAATGCATGGGAAGTGTTTTCAAGGTACTCAGATGGACAAAACACTGAACACAGGATGTTCCTACCAAGTTTGTCACACATTGTAATGACCAATTCACACCTCAGACCTCTCCCACCCTTGAAAACAAAAGATATGTTAATGACCATTCACACCTCAGACCTCTCCCACCCTTGAAAACAAAAGATATGTTAATGACCATTCACACCTCAGACCTCTCCCACCCTTGAAAACAAAAGATATGTTAATGACCATTCACACCTCAAATTCCTCATCCCCCCTGCCAGGTGGCTTTTAATGACTCCCACCACAGACACCTTTCCCACCCTTGAAAACAAAAGATATGTTAATGAGCAACTCACACCTAAGCTCTCTCACCATATACTGCTTTCTCTGCTTCTACACTCTGACCTTTCCCAACAGTCTTGAAACAAAAGATAATTTACCATTTTCAGTGCAAATTCTGGGCATTTGGACCCCTGCCAGGTGGCTTTAATGACTCCCCTCCACCAGACACCTTTCCCACCCTTGGAAACAAAAGAAATGATTAATGAGCAACTCACACATGCTAAAACAGATAGTGCTTTTTGCTTCTACCTCTGTATTTCTCTGCAGTCTGAAATAGTTCCATAATTTAGAACTTTTCAGTGCATTCGTGTACATGGGGCTTTCCTGTGCTTCCTTTAAAAAGGATCACCCCTAAAAGCAAAAGAGAAGAGTGGAGCATGAGTCTGAGCGATTTCCGTGTCGGACAACACAAGTGAAGGGATGGATGCTGCTCAACCAACCCCAGGAGTCCAATGTTAAGGAATGGCCTCAGCCACCGTTCTAGCCACGCCAGCTGACGCATTTCTCCCCACCCACCCACAGCTTGGTCAGAACCGACCTCTGTGACCAAGCCCCAGAGGGTGGGGCAAAATGAGTGAATGGGGTGGGGCATCCCTTCACTTGAGCAGCTTCCATCCCTTCATTTGCCTACATCCCCACAGCCTCTTTAAGGTTTTCAACATTACAAGTTGCTGAAGATGAGCTTTGTAAAATGTTTCCTGGACCCATGTAAAGTGACATCAGCATGTTACTGCAGTCACCCAATGGTCCCAATATTCCATTATTTTCTAGTACATCTCCGCCTTTCCGATTGGTCAGTGATGATGTTCATTCAAAAAGCAGGATAAGTGGGCATAGCCAACCACTGACTTCCGATTTGACATTGACATTATTATTATTATACAGGATTTATATGGCGCCAACAGCTTTGCTCAGCACTTTACAATATAAGGGAGACAATACAGCAACAATACAGTTCAATACAGAAGGAATAGGAGGGCCTTGCTCATGGAGCTTACAATCTAAAGGAAGGGGGGGGGTGATACAAAAGGTGATAGCTGTGGGGGATGATCTGGTGGAGGTGACTCAAGTACAGTTCTTAGGTGGAGGTGGGGTAGGCTTCCCTGAATAAGTGAGTTTTCAAAGATCGCCTAAAGGCAGACAGGGTGGGGGGTGTGACCGGACATACTGTGGTAGGGAGTTCCAAAGGATGGGAGATGCTCTGGAGAAGTCCTGGAGGTGAGCAAGGGAGGTGATGAGGGAGCTAGAAAGGAAGATATCTTGGGAGGAGCAGAGCGGATATATTTACATATTTAAGTACTCTGGGTTTAGAGGTTTCCATGGGCTAACAAGAGCACAGGTACACGTTAACAAGGGAAACCACAATGTATAGTATGCATTCCCCAGCAAAAAAAAAAAAAAAAAAAAACTTACATCTGCATCTCCATGGTGAAGGAGGAGAGGGGACATAGAGTCCCACTGGTCAGTATGATGCTTCGGACTCCTTGTCTCACCAGGTCGTGCATTGTGTAACCAGGACTGAAACACCAGTAACTGAGCACCTTCCCTGCATCACACAAATGGAAAATCAATTAACCACTTCCAGTCCGGACACTTTCCCCCCCTTCCAGTCCGGACACTTTCCCCCCCCTCCAGTCCGGACACTTTCCCCCCCTTCCAGTCCGGACACTTTCCCCCCCTTCCAGTCCGGACACTTTCCCCCCCTTCCAGTCCGGACACTTTCCCCCCCCTTCCAGTCCAGGCCAATTTTCAGCTTTCAGCGCTATCACACTTTGAATGACAATTGTACGGTCATGCAACACTGTACCCATATGAATTTTTTAGCATTTCTTTGAGACAGATACAACTTTATTTTGGTGGTATTTATTAACCACTGGGATTTTTATTTTTTTGCTATATAAATGAAAGTCCAAACATTTTGAAAAAAAAAAAAAAAGTGTTTTTCTTATAAAATTTTGCAAATAAATAATCTTTATTCATAAATCTTAGCCAAACTGTATTCATCTATCTTTTTAGTAGAAAAAAAAAAACAAAATTAGTTTATAACCAAAAATTATAATATTTCAAAACATTTTTTGACATTTTTATTTTATTTTTTTATATTATTATTTATGGGGTTTTTTTTTAAACATACTGTCACCCTATCAGTACAGTGTCACCATAGTGATTTTTTTTTTTTTTTTACACGGATTGCTTTTACACCCATAAAGGCTATAAAAGCAAATCATTTCTCCTTCTCCCTGGCTGCATTCTTGCAGCCATTGAGAAATACTGTGAGAGTTGTGATTGTCACAGCTTGCAACATGGTACAAGGCTGTTGTGAATAGCCCTGTACCATGTGACCTCTGTGATCATTCACAGATTTCACTAGTAGTAAGCAATGATATCAGACGTGACATCTTGCTTACTACTATTCATGTGATCACTGATTGCCTAATCAGTGATCACATGATTGGGACCTTACACAGAGGTCCCGTACAGCGCGGTGCCTGGCTGTGACAGCTTGCGGCTTCACAGCAGGGTGCCCACTGCGAATGTTCGAGTAGAGCTGCGCTTCCTGAATGGCCCCGTCGTCTTCTGGGACCTGTCATGTGTCTCACAAGACTACGGGGAGGGAGTGGAGTAGGACTTCCGCTTCCGATCGAAAAAAACGTGACTGAACTGATTAAAAAAAACTGTTAAAAAAAACAGAAAGTGGCCTTAAAGCGGAGTTCCACTCAACCTATCAAAAAATAAAAGGCAGCAGCTACAAAAACTGTAGCTGCTGACTTTTACAAAACAGCCACTTACTTGTCCCTCAGTCCCGCGGTGTGTCCCCTGCAGCCCGTTTCACCGGCCGTCCTGTATTCCAGGAGTCTGGCATCTTCATGTGGGCACCCGGCTGTGATAGCTTGTGGCTTCACAGCCGGGTACCCACTGCGCATGCGCGAGTAGCGCTGTGCTTCCTGGATGGTCCTGTAGTCTTCTGGGACCTGTCCCGTGTCCCAAAAGACTACAGGGAGGACCCCTTCCACTTCCGGATCGCCTAGGCCAGTGGTGGGCAACCTTTTTTTTCAACTGAGCCAAATCTCGCCAAAACCACGATTGAAATTTATTTTGAGAGCCACATTTTTAAAACTGAAAATACATAGGATGGTACACTGTTTTTAGTTTCAATAAGTTTTTATAGTAATTCATCCCCCCCTATATAGTAATTCATCCCCCATAGTAATTCATCCCCCCTATAGTAATTCATCCCCCATAGTAATTCATCCCCCATATAGTAATTCATCCCCCATATAGTAATTCATCCCCCATAGTAATTCATCCCCCATAGTAATTCATCCCCCATATAGTAATTCATCATCCCCCATATAGTAATTCATCCCCCATATTAATTCATCCCCCATAGTAATTCATCCCCCATAGTAATTCATCCCCCATAGTAATTCATCCCCCATATAGTAATTCATCCCCCATATAGTAATTCATCCCCCATATAGTAATTCATCCCCCATAGTAATTCATTCCCCCTATAGTAATTCATCCCCCATAGTTATTCATTCCCCATATAGTAATTCATCCCCCATAGTAATTCATCCCCCCTATAGTAATTCATCCCCCATATAGTAATTCATCCCCCATATAGTAATTCATCCCCCCTATAGTAATTCATCCCCCATATAGTAATTCATCCCCCATATAGTAATTCATCCCCCCTATAGTAATTCATCCCCCATATAGTAATTCATCCCCCATATAGTAATTCATCCCCCATAGTAATTCATCCCCCATATAGTAATTCATCCCCCATATAGTAATTCATCCCCCATATAGTAATTCATCCCCCATATAGTAATTCATCCCCCCCTATAGTAATTCATCCCCCATACTAATTCATCCCTCATATAGTAATTCAGTAATTCCCCCCCTATATTAATTCATCCCCCCTATATTAATTCATCCCTCATATAGTAGTAGTAAGTAAGTAGCAAGTAGTAAGCCAAGTCCCCCCTGTGTCAATTCACTTACCTTTGCTCCGCGCGTTCCTCTCGCCGTGTTCCGCGCCGTTCCGATCTTCAGGGCGGACTGTGAGAGGAGCCTAGCTCCTCTCACGTTCGTCGCGCTGCCCCGCCTACACACATCCTGACAGCCAATCACTGGCTATCAGGATGTGAGTGGCAGCGAGACTGGCCAATCATTGCATTTGAGCGCACTGCCCTGGCTGTTTTTTTTTTGGATCACGCTGCAGAGTCCCTGCCGCCCGAGAGGAGGGAGGGGAGCGGGCGCCCGGCACACAAGAGCCGCATTAAAGCGTGTAAAGAGCCGCATGTGGCTCGCGAGCCGCGGCTTGCCGACCACTGGCCTAGGCGATTGCAGCAGAAGTGGGAGCGGGTACCTGTCAATTTCGGTTACCCGCTCCCCAAAGGTGCCAATCCTTAATGGGGAGCGGGGGGGGACCAATCTTTAAAGCGGAACTTTCCCTTTTGGGTGGAACTCCGTTTTAAACACTTTTTTTTTTTTTTATCTAAACAAAAATCTAACATTAGAATATATTGAGTCAGCTGGAATCTAAGGAATTGCAAAAGGCAGCGACGCAAACCTTTCTGTGCATTACAAATACCAGTGATTGCCTCCCTAGGGTAGCTTCAGTACAGTTATATCACATGACCTCTGGCTCACCTCCATGCTTCCTGCTGTTGCTCCACACATCTCCCCGTGGCTTCTTCCTCTGGCTGTTGTCTAGGTGGATGTGAACCTGCTCGTGAGGAAGACAATTACACAAAGATTGGGTAATGTTTATGGGAAACGCGGATCCATTTGTAAAAGAGGTCTTCTACAATAACAAAAGTTGAGACTTTGTATACGGTAGATGAGCGAGACCTAACACAGAGTGGAAGAGATAAAAAAAAAAAGTCCAAGAAAAACACATTTATTTAAATACGACCAACACATTTGTTTAACCCCTCGCCTACCGGGCACTTATACCCCCTTCCTGCCCAGGCCAATTTTCAGCTTTCGGCGCTGTCACACTTTGAATGGCAACTGCGCGGTCATGCAACATTGTACCCATACGACATTTGTATCATTTTTTTCACACAAATAGAGCTTTCTTTTAATGGTATTTAACCACGGCTGGGTGTTTTATTTTTTGCGCTATGAACAAAAAAATAGCAAAAATAATTAAAAAAAGTTTTTGTTTCTATTATAAAATTTTGCAAACAGGTAATTTTTCTCCTTCAATGATGTGCATTGATGAGGCTGCACTGATGGGCACTGATGGGCTGGCACTAATGATGGTGCACTCTCCTAGATTGTAAGCTCCCAGGAGCAGGGCCCTCCTATCCCTCTTGTATTGAACTGTATTGTTGCTGTATTGTCTCCCATTATATTGTAAAGCGCCCTGAGCAAACTGTTGGCGCGCCATAAATCCTGTATAATAATAATATTTTTGCAGCAATGATGGGCACTGATAGGCGGCACTGACTGGCAGCACTGGTGTGCACTGACTGACGGCACTGCTGGGCAGCACTGGTGGGTGGCACTGCTGGGCACAGGTGGGTGGCACTACTGGGCACTGATCATCAGTGCCCTGATGATCAGTGCTCATCTGTTTTCTGACAATTGCTAGTTATCGGCAGTACTTTCCTCACGCCGTCACAGCATGAAGAAAGTGCAGCCGACAACAGGCAACTGCATTTACCCGGTCTGTGACACATTGGACACAGCTGATCACGTGGTAAAAGGCCGCTGTGATTGGCCTTTTACCACATCACGTGGTCAGCTTTGTCCGTAAGACCGAGATCGTTGGGTGCGCACCACTACGGGCGTGCGGGGGGGGCATTCTGAGAGCCCTCCCAGAACTGGACAACCGTGCTGCAGCCGTCATTCGGCTATAGCCCGGTTGTCAAGTGGTTAAATAAGATCTGTTACTTAGTCTATTAAGGGCAATGTGATATAGGGCACCCTCCCCTCCCTTCAATACTCACCTATGCCGTGCTACCCAACCTTTTTGTTCATCACACAAGGCTTGAGAGAGGGAAATTTATAATGTGTAATCTCCAACATAGAATGCATAAAAAGGTAAAAACCTTGAGCCTTTAGAATCACTTTAATTACTATAAAACATATTTGAGATAGCACAACAATTCACCCTGATGAAGGGAGCGCATGACTCCTGAAACACTTCAGTCTTTAGTTTGTTTGTTTTTTTTTCTCTAATAAAGACTCAGTATCGTACGACAAAGAAGTCTCCAGCATTAGTTACAGCTGGCTTGCTTTCATTGAATGAATGCAGAGCTCTCTTATACACAGGGTTCAGCTCTTCTGAGTTATTCTATCTTCATCAGCAGGTGTTCTAACAAAAGCTAGCAGTTACAATAACATTCTCGCAAGGAGGAGGTCAGGGCCATGTTCTGTGTTGACTAGTAGCTTAGAACGCAAATCTAGGGGTGGGGTATGGGAATACCGGCAGCTAGCAGCACAGACTGCAGAGGACAGTCAAGGATAGGGGTCTGTGGCGGGTTCGCAAATAGTGTAGCAAACTGTGAGAGGAAAGAGCGGGTCTGAAGAAAGATCTATCTATCCATTCAGTCATATCCGACCCTTGGCGATTGCATGGACCATCACTCGCAAGCGACTTCTTCCATGAATTCTCTTAGCAACTATTTTACAGGGTAGGTTGCCAGGAAGTACCCAGAGGAAACCCACGCAAGCACAGGGAGAACATGCAAACTCCATGCAGGAGGCGCCATGGTTGGGAATCGAACCATGACCCAATTACTGCAAGGCAGAAGTGCTAACCACTAAGCCACTGTGCCACCCTTGAGGAAAGATAGTAGTAAATAATGGTCAGCTTGGCATAGAATCTGCAATGGGGATGCAAAAAATGTTTAAAATGACACTGACACAAACGATGGGGCACTATTCCTCCCATTGACACCAATGATGGGGCACTATTCCTCCCACTGACACCAACAATGGGGAGCTATTCTTTTCACTGACAACAAAGATGGGGAACTGTTCCTCCCACTGAGCCTAACAACGGGGCACTGTTCCTCCCACTGACCCTAACAACGGGGCACTGTTCCTCCCACTGACCCTAACAAACGATGGGCACTGTTCCTCCCACTGACCCCAATGATGATGTGGCATTGTTCCTCCCACTGACCCCATCAACTGGGCACTATTCCTCCCGCTGACACCAGCAATGGGACACTGTTCCTCCCACTGACAGCGCCGGGGCACCCTTCCACTGCGCGACGGGGCACTGTTCCTTCCACTGACACCAGCGACGGGGCACTGTTCCTTCCACTGACACCAGCGACGGGGCACTGTTCCTTCCACTGACACCAGCGACGGGGCACTATTCCTTCCACTGACACCAGCGACGGGGCACTGTTCCTTCCACTGACACCAGCGACGGGGCACTATTCCTTCCACTGACACCAGCGACGGGGCACTATTCCTTCCACTGACACCAGCGACGGGGCACTGTTCCTTCCACTGACACCAGCGACGGGGCACTGTTCCTCCCACTGACACCAGCGACGGGGCACTGTTCCTCCCACTGACACAAGCGACGGGGCACTGTTCCTTCCACTGACACCAGCGACGGGGCACTGTTCCTCCCACTGACACCAGCGACGGGGCACTGTTCCTCCCACTGACACTACAAATGCAGAATTAATTATCCCACTGACACTAACAATGGGGTACTGTTCCTCCCACTGACCACCAAGCCTATAGGGTATTGTTTAATCCCACTGATGCCAGGGTATTTTATACACCCACTGCCCAAAATCTAGCCCCCCTAAAGTTTGAAGGGCAGTAAACTGGCCCTTTATTTCAAAAGTTTGGAGACCCCTGCCTTAGACAATCGATTGGCTCAAAAATGGCACATCTCCTAAGAATGGCTTCCTTCGTCTTAAGACAGTCTAATTCACAGTTCCGTTTCACAGTGAAGATTGCTACAACCTTCTGCTGCAAAGATCTAGCCTAACAGTCTTTATTCACAGAGTGAAGAGATAATAATGGATGTAAACATTTTACCTTGTAGTACCTGGAGACCTGATTGGTGTTGATGACAGCAGTGGAACCTTCAGGAATCTCAATATTAAATACAATCTGCAAAAAACACATAAAACAGAGTGAGGGGGGCAAAAACAATGAACTGGCGATTTCCCTCTCTCCCACCCGGTGGGTTTTTTTTACACTGCCAATGGAAATTGTCCAATCCAGTCATGGTAAAGGTCAATCTGGCTTGGTCTAAAAAAAAAGGGTAACAGCACTGAAGTGCTAGCACCAAGTGCCTACAAGTACCTGTGTCAGCCATCAAATCAATCCCTGTGTGTCTGTGGGGCCCCTTGAATCCCAGGCCATACAGACTTTTGCAAGTATTCTCCAAATTGAGATGATGCTAAAAACTCACCCTGTGTCATTCAACTGTCAAATACCTGAACTACAGCCCAGTAGAGGCCCTAATGTACACCTTGGATTGAAGGATGTGCCACAGGATCAGACACAAACAGGTAGCACAATGTCATTGAACCGCAGAACTTTTGCTGCCTTAGCAAACTTTTAGGCCAGTGATGTCACTGCCCTGCGTGTCTAGCTCATCCAATCAGAGAATGCCTTGCATTCCTGAAAACACTATGCAGCAGGGCAGCCACAGGCCTGGGAAGATAATGGCGATCTCTGTAGTAGCAGAGACTTACAGCTTCCACAAGGTATGGTGTATGCCTATGTATACTCTAAAATCCATACCTGGAATTCAGCTCTTAAAAATAAGAAGTGCCTTTCCATTTCAGCCTGAAGTTGTCATTTTAAATGATGGTGGCGGCATTCGTTACACTGGTGTGCAGAATGCCCCAAGAAATGTTTTTTCCTGCTTGTGCGATTGGCTCGTGGATTTTCTCAGAGGTCTGTGCTAAAATGCAAGTAATCCTTTAAGGCATCCCCTGCAAGTGGAATTTCATTTATGGTAAGACACTCCCCCTTAACTACTATTAAAGGGAAGCAGACACGGCAACTTTTCTCATTAGGACACTGAGGTGACTACAAAGACCTCCCATTCAGGAATCGGTCTGGAAAGGACTGGAGGATACTAAAAACTTTTGCTGCAAAACAGAAAGAAGTGGATACCACCAAAATCAAGCGTTACCCATCTTAGAAGGTTTTATAAAATTAATTTGGATACAGTGTCGCGTGACTGTCACTCAAACTATCACAGCACTGAAACCTGAAAAATGGCCTTATAGTGAAGGAATTTTACAACGAAAAACAGCAAACCCAAATACTCCTGCGCTTGGGGATGGACTCAGCTTGGGCTATGGCTACATCTTGGATGTCCTGGAATGTCCACTCCTTGCTGCTCTAAACAGACCGGGTAGTCCAAATGCACTGCATAAAAAGAAAACAGAGGGCGCACCGGCCTAGTGCATTACCGTAAAAATCATTTATTGAAATAAAAATAGGTATCATACTCACAAATGTCACATCATAAAGAACAGCACTGTCCAATCCACACTACATGTCCATCAGCAATGGGAACCCTGGACTTCCAACAGTCTAACGCGTTTTGAGGATTTGCCTTTCATGCATTTTATGATATTTGTGGTCAGTTTATTACTTATCAAACCATGGTATTGTTTATTACATGGTTGTGTTTATATTTATGATGTTGTACAAGAACAGCTTATGATGCTTATCTCCGCCCCTGGGCGAGCCTGAGGCGGCCCACGTGCAGTATTAGAAACAGCATTTAGTAAGCATATATAAAGAGAGGTACGGGCATTTTGTTTGTTGGCTCTGAGAAAGAGGCAAGTCCTTGAAACGCGTTAGACTGTTGTCCATCCGCAATGGGAACCCTGGATTTCCATGTAGTGTGGATTGCAGTGTTGTCCTTTATGATGTGCCTTTGACACCTATGTCATTTGCGAGTACGATACCTATTTTTATTATTTCGATAAATGTTTTTTATGGTAATGCACTAGGCCGGTGCGCCCTCTGTTCGTTTTCTTTTTATACGAAGGAATTTTACAGGCTGGTACTCAACTGTTTAAACATTAGGATATGTGTTTTGGGTGCGGTCACTTACCGACCACAGCTGTTGTGATCTACCAGTGAGCCTAATTAATGTGAGAATACGTGCACGTAGAAGTAAGACACTGGCACATAAATGCAGTTTTCCAACTTCCTAAAATTCTGTTTTATTGAGGAACAGTAACATTTATAGGTCTCATGATGCAGGCAAAGCATATACATTGATGGGGTGAAAAGTCCACTAGGTTTCTGTGTGTTCTTCCATCCGTGTTGATATCTTCCAATCATTGTCCCCCAAAACGACTCATTCCCTTTTATGGGGGTTGTTTACATTAAAAGATACTTTTCTTCTAATGAGTCACCTCGGGTGAGACTCCGGATGAAGGCGCCATCTTAATTATCATTGTTCTGTCAACTTATATCTGATTGTTTACTTAAGAGAGTAAGGAATTTAAAGCGAAAGAAGCAGAAAGTAGCAAGACTATAAAATTGTCATTTTACTGATCATCTAATAAAACGTGGACTGTGTATCACAATACACTACATATGGAATATGGATTTCAAAACAAATACTTGGGTAGGATTACGCATATTCCCCAACTGTAGAGTAAAAGGAAATCTTACCTGTATAATATCTGACAGCTTCTGGAGGCCGAAAGTGTTCGTGAAGACTCCAGAACCTGAGGACAAGACATGACCACAAAAGGAAGATGTTTTAATACACTCTCTTTTTGTGGATAAGTGAAATGACAACAGTAAGGCTCATTTGATAAGCCTGCCAGGGAAATGCCTTACTTCCGCCAACGTGCTGTATGATTTGTTCCAAGAGATCCAGTAAATCCGTCTTGGTGTTGTAATTGATTCCCGCGTATCCAAGGAGCTCAAAGATGTAACTGCAAATAGACAAAACATATGACCTTAGAGCAGGGTTTCTCAACTCCAGTCCTCATGGACCCCCAACAGGTCATGTTTTCAGGATTTCCATTATTTTGCACAGGTGATTTGATCAGTTTCACTGCCTTAGTAATTACCACAGCTGTTTCATCTGAGGGAAATCCTGAAAACATGACCTGTTGGGGGGTCCATGAGGACTGGAGTTGAGAAACACTGCCTTAGAGAAAAAGAACTCGAAGTCTGACCCATTACACAACGGCATGTAGAACTAAATCTGATGTCTAAACCCCGCCATAATAATAATAATATTTGTTACAGTTATAATGAGCTTTCTATATGTAAGGAAATCCTAAATGGCCATGATATTCCACAATGTTGCCATCAAATCTATTGGGACCTAATAAAGAATATATTGCTGTACAAAGTATGTAGATTTAGGAGTAAATAATACAGACCAATTAACACAACAATACAGTAAATTACTGCTCAACATTTACCAGGACAAGTGCATACAGTTACTAGAGATCACAAACACTCCCTATATAACCAGTAGACAGTGGATAAACTTAAGATGAAAATATCAAATATCTATTTTAGACCTCTTTGTTACTGACATGCTTTTGCTGCGCTTGCGCTAGAACGCGCCTTTCCAGCATGACAAAAGCGCATCCAAAATATTTCCCTTTAAACCCTATGTGACTTCACATTTCTGCGCTGAATTTGCGGCTCTGTTCGAAAAGTCCTGCATACTGCATCTTTGCTGCACTTTTAAAAAGCTCACAAATAATGCACCTTCCATTGAAGTCACTGGGAAATGCACCACAAAACACACCCAGAGTTCGTTTTTAGGTGCGTTTGGGTCACATGGCAAAAATATGCTGGTCACTGGGGTAGCACAGGAGTTTTGCAACCTTTTGATCCAGCTCCTCCAGTCCTGCAACCCCCCTCTCCTTCAATCACATTCTGCTCTTGGCTGTCCTGCCTGCCCGCCGTTTCTCCGCTCCCCCACCCACTGCTGGTAGTATCACTCCTGCACAAGAGGAGCTGGAGCATGCTGACCACTCAGGGGAGGGGGGGCATTATCATTGGTTGGTAAGGACACAGGCGGGTTAACAACCACGTGCTGGCATCCTTCACAATCTATGAATAGCTGATTGTTAAGGGGCTGGCACCTGATGGCGTGCTTAAAGTGGAGTTCCACCCACAAGTGGAAGCTCCACTTGTTTGCCTCTTCACCCCCTCCACTGCCATATATGGCACCTTTTGGGGTGGATGGGGGAGCCGGCACTTGGTTTTGACAGGTACTCGCTCCCACTTCCAGCTCAGTTCGAAGTAAGGAGGAAGTTCGGCCCCCTACTTCCTCCCGCAGTCTCCTGGTAACTTTCACAGGTCCAAGAAGACTGCTAGACCACTCAGGAGGCGCAGCGTGACTCGGGCATGTGCAGTGGGCACCCGGCAGTGAAGCGGTTCCCACAGTTGAGATACCGACGCTGTGGAGAGAAGAAGAAGAGAAGGGACAACGCGAGTGAGCACATCACTGGACCGAGGGACAGGTAAGTGTGTTTATTAAAAGTCAGCAGCTACAGTTTTTGTAGCTGCTGAATTATAATAAACACAAAAATGGCTGGAACTCCGCTTTAACGAAGAGCTCTTCATGCAGATATGCAACATATTTAAAAAACACACATAGGGGTTGATTTACTAAAGGCAAATTTACTGTGCACTACAAGTGCACTAGATCCAGAGATTAATAAATGGGGTAAAGCGTCACTTTGCAAAGAATACCCAATCACATGCAAATTAAATTAAAAAAAAGCATTTTTGCTTGCACATGATTGGATGATAGAAATCAGAAGAGCATTACCTCGTTTCAGATCTAGAGCAACTGAACTTTCAGTGCACAGGATATTTGCCTTTAGTAAATCAACCCCAAAGTGTTGCATTTCAGAAGTGCTGCAGTGTTGCAATGTGAAATCAGCCTAATTGGTAAAAATTTGTGTCCAATATTGAGAGGTAAATCCATAACTACATGTTTATCCTGGAGTGTTATTAGGAGAAATTACCTCCCATCTTTGGTGATCCCAGTCCCGTCAGCTGGCAGGTTAATGGCATCAATAGCATTCTCAAGCTGTAAGAGAGCCCCTAAAGAGAGCCAAAAAAAAAGAGGAGGTTAAAAAGCCTCAGGGGGACAGAAAATGCTACTTGCCTGACTTTCTCTAGCTTCAATTCCTCCAGAATCCTTAACCACAAAAAGCATACGCCAAGTAAAGGCAGAGCTGCATGTTTGTGACCGACCACAGAGCCGAGAACTGAAGTTATTGAATCAGCTTAATGCTACTGGAAAATAAAAATGCTACTTGCCTGGCTTTCTCTAACTTCAAAATTATCCTTGAACCACAACAAACATATGGCAAATAAAGCCAGAACTGCACCTCTGCGTGCCTGTAAAAGGCCAAAGAACCAAATATTGAAGTTATTGAATCAGCTTAATAGGCAGGTATCTAGTGTTTTCACAAGGATGGCTCAGCAATCGCGGCCTACATATCTCCTATAGTTTAGGTCTCCTTGAAGTCTATGGATTCCAGAAATATAAAGAAAAATAGATAGCTGGCACCATCTAGAGGTGATTCAAAGGAATGACCCTGAGACTAAAGGCTCATGGTTGGCGAAAACCTGTCTTGAATTAGACAATCCTCCTCTATTTATTTATTTCAGGTACTTGTATATCAACGTCAATTTACGCAGCGCTTTACATATATATTGTACAGTCACATCAGTCCCTAACCCTCAAGGGGCGTACAATCTAAGGTCCCTAACCCTCAAGGGGGGTACAATCTAAGGTCCCTAACCCTCAAGGGGCGTACAATCTAAGGTCCCTAACCCTCAAAGGGGCGTACAATCTAAGGTCCCTAACCCTCAAGGGGAGTACAATCTAAGGTCCCTAACCCTCAAGGGAGGTACAATCTAAGGTCCCTAACCCTCAAAGGGTGTACAATCTAAGGTCCCTAACCCTCAAGGGGCGTACAATCTAAGGTCCCTAACCCTCAAGGGGCGTATAATCTAAGGTCCCTAACTCTCAAGGGGTGTACAATCTAAGGTCCCTAACCCTCAAGGGGGGTACAATCTAAGGTCTCTAACCCTCAAGGGGGGTACAATCTAAGGTCCCTAACCCTCAAGGGGCGTACAATCTAAGGTCCCTAACCCTCAAGGGGCGTACAATCTAAGGTCCCTAACCCTCAAGGGGCGTACAATCTAAGGTCCCTAACCCTCAAGGGGCGTACAATCTAAGGTCCCTAACCCTCAAGGGGCGTACAATCTAAGGTCTCTAACCCTCAAGGGGGTACAATCTAAGGTCCCTAACCATCAAGGGGCGTACAATCTAAGGTCCCTAACCCTCAAGGGGCGTACAATCTAAGGTCCCTAACCCTCAAGGGAGGTACAAGCTAAGGTCCCTAACCCTCAAGGGGTGTACAATCTAAGGTCTCTAACCCTCAAGGGGGCGTACAATCTAAGGTCCCTAACCCTCAAGGGAGGTACAATCTAAGGTCCCTAACCCTCAAGGGAGGTACAATCTAAGGTCCCTAACCCTCAAGGGAGGTACAAGCTAAGGTCCCTAACCCTCGAGAGGTGTACAATCTAAGGTCCCTAACTCACATTCATACACACACACATACTAGGGCCAATTTAGACAGGAACCAATTCACCTACCAGCATGTCTTTGGGAGTGTGGGAGGAATCCAGAGTACCCAGAGGAAACACACACAGGCACAGGGAGAACATGCAAACTCCAGGCAGGAGGTGCTGTGGTTGGGATTCGAATCAATGACCCTAGTGCTGCCAGGCGGAAGTGCCAACCATTTACCCATTGTGCTCCCTATATAAATAGTAAAATAATTTACACACAGATGGTTCAGGCTCCACTTAACATTCAGTTTAAAATGAACTGAATGCATTCCAGATGCAACAAAACAAAAAATGTGTGCAAAGTCCTATAGCCTGAATGGAAAAAGGCCTTCCACTGTAAGCATGCTGATCTTTGTGTAGAAGCAAGGGTCTCTCTGCAGAAGTCCAACACACCCCCCTACTAAGCCAGCAAGACTATTGTGGGGTGTTGACCTATAATGGTCGTGTAGTGTATGTGCAACCAACCCTCTAACAGGTTCAAGCTTCACTAACACTTTAAAGTGGTTCAAGGGTTTTTACCTTCATGCATTCTAAAAAACCTTCTATGTGCAGCAGTTCCTCCAGCCCCCTCAATACTTACTTGAGCACCATCGAGATCCAGCGAAGTGAATGACAGCCTCTGCTGTCCCGGGTCTCTGCCTCCTCATTGGCTGAGTCAGCAAGCGGGAAACATTGGATCCCACTACTGTCAATCACAGACAGTCAACCAATGAGGAGAGAGGGGCAGTGGGTGCCCCTGTAGCAAGCTGCTTGCTGTGGGGGCAATTGACAGAAAGGAGGAGCCAGGAGAGCCTGCGGGGGACAAGAGGAGGATCCAGGCTGCTCTGTGCAAAACCACTACACACAGCAGGTAAGTATAGACATGTTTGTTATTTAAAAAAAGGAAAAAAAAAAAAACCTTTAGTACAATTTTAAAATGTCTTTATCCCCATGTTATTCCGAGCATAATGCCTTACCCTTTATCTTAGCCAGGTCTTCAAGCTGTATGTTCAAAGCTGGAAATGAGAAGAATAAGGATGTTGTAATTGATGAACTTTAGTTTACATTCATTCAGTCCAAAATGAAAGCAGCAAAAGATTCAAATGCATTCTATGGCCCTAATTATGGAGTCTGGAATTCTGGAGTCACTGATTGGGTTGGGTTATTACCCCAATATTAAGCCCAGGCCACTTGGGTCAGCAAGGGGACCCAGGCATGGAAGGTATCAGAACAGTGCCATCCCACAGTGATACCTGCTTTAAAGCCAAGAGAGGGGAATCTTGTTACTGGCTCACCTGCCTACAGAAGCGGCACCGCCTGTTCCTGTCAGGTCTGTCATGTAGGTGCCGCTACAGATCAAGCTTTAAAGATAGGACAGAGAGATCTGAGGTGTTGACTGTCCTCTCAGCATCTGCATCCATAGAGAAGAGGAGTTTCTCTGCATGCTGTCTCAACTGCTGCCTTACCAGACCACAATGCAAACACCCCAGCAGTGCACTGGCAAGTAAGTTTTTGTGAATATTGGTTAATATACAGCACTATGATTTATAATGTAGCCATAAAAAAAAAAAAAAAAACTCCTGTCTGCACGCAGTATCAGCACACTGTAAACCTATGAATAAAAATAAATAAACAAATGCAAATGGAATCAGCTTACATGCACCACCCATGGAAGAACACCCCTAACACGTTTTGCCCATGTGGAACTTAATCGTATAAGGCCACTATGATTAAGCCCCACATGGAGCGAAAAGCATTAGAAGGTTCTCCACTGGCGCAGGATGTAAGCTGAAGCCATTTTCATTTATAGGTTTACAGTGTGGCAAAACTGAGTGTGGACAGGCGCCATTTTCTTGTAGTCTACATGGAGCATGACAAGCGATTATTCATCCCGACCGGCACCTGTAATCAGTGCACCAGTTTGGCTGAGATACTGAGGCGTCTTGAGCGGTACCATTATTCCTTATTACATAGTTAATCTGGTTGAAAAAAGACAAGTCCGACTAGTTAAACCAACAGAAAAAAATATATATATAGATATATAAAAAAATCTCTCTCTCTCTCTCTCTCTCTCTGTGTGTGTATATATATATATATATATATATATATATATATATATATATATATATATATAAATAGTGACAGTAGGCAGGTAAAAACACCTGGTTGCGTCCTGGATGGACGATACATTTGTCCAAGGTTCAGACTTTATGGGGATTTGTTCCACTAGACGCAGGGGTGGCTAACCTGTGGCTCTCCAGCTGTTGTGGAACTACATTTCCCATGAGGCATTGCAAAGATGGGAAGATACTGACTTGCAGAGGCATGATGGAACTTGTAGTCCTGCAGCAGCTGGAGAGCCGCAGGTTGGCCACCCCTGCACTAGAGGGAAGTGCTGAGTCCTTCAGGACTGAGGTAATGAGCCCAGCGGAAGGTAGTGGGCTCATTAAGGCTGGTATAAAACTTCCCAGCTTGCTTAGGGAGTGGCTCCAACCTAGAACCAAATCTATGCCTGAACTGACTGGGGAGCAAACATCTTATCTATGTGCAGGGAGACAAAAGCCTGTGTGGCTAGCCTCCAACTACTAACAACTAGGTATAGTATCAGGCTGTACCTAGTGGGTAGCTAGGGAAAGCAGTTGGTACAGTATGTAGCCAAGTTGGCCAGGATTTAATTTGATGTTTTTTTGGTTTGAAATTTTCTGTACATATTGTAAATAAACTGCACCTTTTTGTTTTTTCACCTCCACTGTTGTTGTGCTGTGCCTGTCTTTTTGTGTTGTGCACCCATCCAGGGGGTCACACACACCCACTGCCGAGCTAATCCCGTTACAATATATATATATATATATATATATATATATGACTTTACATCTCCTTTAATTCCTCCCCAATCCATCTTAAACTAAAAAAAAAAACAAAAAAACCTTTTTATGGACTGACGCTATATCACCCTCCGCAATCACGATCATCTCTGCAAGTACAAGATAATTAAAACACAGTAAAGATAGCAGAACTGCTCACAGGGGGTAGATGACTCCATGCTGAACTCTGCACTGAATTTCTTCTGCTCCAAGTTATCCGTGAGCTCATTTATCACCAAATCTAAAGCGTCAATTCCAGAAGCCAAATCATATGGAGTTAGGTCAAAAGAAGCAGATTCTTCACACATTCTCTCCTAGAAGGACAAAGAGACAGAGGAGCTGTAATTGCAGAGATAACAACAAGAGGGAGAACTTGGAGGAAAGACTTAAAGTGTTAGTTCACACTTTTTGATAGGGGGATCAAATACCTATTTCCCTCATGAACAGGCAAATCAGTGCATCATTTGTTAGACATGCATTTCTGCTGAATTTTTTGTTGCTATTCTGTCTCTCAGTGTTACAATACACCGAACATTCGATTTTTAGACCGATCATTTCTTTGTGAGTGGGCAAACATTCAACATTCAGCAGGGGATGAAATACGCATTTCCTTCACTGTGTGTATATATAGATATATATATATATATATATATATATAAAGATGAGAGAGAGAGAGAAAGATATAGAGAGAGAGAGAGAGAGAGAGAGAGAGAGAAATAGAGAGAGAAAGAGAGAGAGGGAGAGCAAGTGAGAAAGAGAGAGAGAGAGAGAGAAAGAAAGAGAGAGAGAGAGAAGAGAGAGAGAGACATACACACACTGGGGAAGATTTATTAAAACTGGTGCACGCAGAATATGGTGCAGCTGCGGTAGCCAATTTTCAACTTTAGTTTGTTCAATTAAGCTTTGAGGAAGCTATCGATTTCTATGCCCCCCACTGTACACACCACTTTACAAACCCCCACTGCCGCACACACACACACACACACACACACACACACACACACACACACACACACACACACAGAGAAAGACACACCAGGTAAGTTAAAGCAAAACCTCACCCAAAAGGGGAAGTTCCCTTTTTTCCACCTGCTACCCCCCCCCCCACACACTTTTGCAAACTTTTTTTGGAAGGGTTTTGACAGGTACCCGCTCCCACTTCTGCCCAGATCCCCTAGGTGATCCGAGTAGAAGTTCACCCCCTCCCCTTCTTTGCCCACAGCTTTTTGGGACATGTCACAGGTCCCAAGAGACTGCGAGACAATTCACTTAGAGCAGTGCCACTCGAACATGTGCAGCATCGATGTTGCAAGGCTTTGCAGCCAGTTTCCATTAGTAAACATGCCGGAGCAGGGGACCCAAAGAATGGTGAAGAGCCAGCACAGGCAAGGATGCTGCTGGATCCCTGTACAGGCAAGCAGTCTTTTATTAAATGTCAGCATCTACAGTATTTGTAGCTGCGGACATATTTTTTTGGGGGGGGGAAACTGAAGCTTCTCTTTAGGTTTTCATGGTCAAATTGAGGAAACGAACAAAAACTGCAACGGGCCAGACATATCGGCAGAAGAGAAGTGAAAATGTCAAGAGCCTTGAAAGGCGAGTGGATGGAGCTAGGAATTACATACCACATTGTGAGCTTCATCAAATATCACAACCGCGCCTTTCAGGTCAATATTGTGGGCTTTGCGACTCTAGAACAGAAGAAAGAAATTGACTGAATTTAGATTCATTTTAACACGGCAAAAAACATTTCAAATCCTGCCCATACTGAAATCATTTTCTGATGAAGTTTTTCTTCTTAGTACCTTAGGATCCAGAAGGTAATTATAAGGCATAAATATTATGTCTGCATGTTGCTTCAGATTTCTGGATAGGTAATAAGGGCAGGCCCTGCATGAAGGAGAAAAAGTACATGTAACACTTGTTGCTACAGTGAAGTGGAATAAAAATTAGTAAGGAAAATCTAATTCATGCAAATACCAGAATGAAATTGAGGATTCGCAACCTAACAATGCAGTCGCATGCCAGTTTGGAGTTCTGAGGTAGAACCCTTTCTGGTATTACACATAATATATAATTTTTTTGGTATATTGGGGTTGATTTACTAAAATTGGAGAGTGAAAACCAGGTGCAGCTGTACATGGCAGCCAATCAGCTTCTAACTTCAGCTTGTTCAGTTAAGCTTGTTCACATGACCTTAAACCCCGCCTCCCCGGCTTCTGAAACCCTTAAAGGGCCGGGAGGCGCCAGTGCAAAGGGGTAAAAGTAGAACTAGTGTCAAAACTTTTTTTTGTCATTTTAGATAGAGTAGCCCCTGTCAGGTTTTTGCTGGGGAAATTTCCCTTCACTCCCTGTCCGATAGCCAAAACAGGAAGTGAAAGAAATCCCTTCCCATTGAGGGAATCCTAGGGTGTCACCAGAACTAGTGTCTTCATTGGAAGATATCCCCTCTATTAGTGTTCTGGCAAAAATTTTAAATTTGGGATTGTCTTTTACTTTACAAAAAAAAAAAAAAAACACACACAAAGACAAGGGATCTAATTCCTCTCCACTCTTTCCAAAAGAAACAAAAACAAAAAAAAGAAAACAAAAAAAACCACACACACACAAAGACAAGGGATCTGATCCCTCTCCACTCTTTCCAAAAGAAACAAAAACATTTTGCCTTTAGTTACACTTTAACTTTAAACAAACTCTGACAATTCCAAGAACAAAAATGTTTGGTTTAAGGATAGGAAGAGAAATGTCAATTTAAAAATCGGAAAGCATTCACCATCCCTCTCCCAACACCAATCACAGTTGGTACACTGTCTGGAGATATGCTCTGATGTACAGCAAGTGTAGATGCGTGTGTTCAGTTATCTACCTCATATATTAGGAGGAAGACTATTGTTCTGGATTTTTTATACTACTCATAGAACAAACTAGCCTAGGTTGTATATTTTATACCCTGGGTCTCCTGATTATTTAAAAGCAAAAAGGCCAGGAAAAAAGAAATTATAATCCCAGGATAACAATTCGCCAGTGACATTACAGCAGTACCTGTGCTTGGTGCCATTCTTCACCAGATCCTCAATGTCTAATATCTGGGTGGTCAGATCCTTCTCGGTGCTTTTCTCTGGGACAAGAAATGCAAGTGTCTGTAACAATGCTCCAAAAATCTAGAAATGTAACACATCTCCTAAAACATACAACCATCTCTCCTTGTATCTCATCTGTTTCTAGAGCATTTCTCTTCCTAAAAACGATTATTCTTTGAATCAAATGTAAATTCCTTCACAACACCTTCGAATGACAATCCTTGGAGCCACATGCCTATGAACACTTACCATCTACATTGTTGTAAAAGTGACAGGATCTGCTGGACACTTTGGAACGGCACATATGGACCTGGGAAGGCAGAGGATTATGTTATGCTGTGATAACCGCTACAAGATACTTCAATGCAGTGTCAGTTCTGGTCTCTTGACTCCCTTGGATAGACAGATCTGCTATAAGATTGCAGCCACCCCTCCCCCACTCTACTGAACAGATATAATAATCAAACCCGCTCCCGACAACTTTAATCCATGAGTGTTCTGAATGAAAATCTCAGGATTTTCTGTGGCAGGTTTTTGTAAAACAGTCTCAGCTGGTTGTCCAGGTTTCCAAACGCAGGGGGTTGGAAATACTCCAATAACTGTCACATATACTTTGCTTTGCGGCCTGATAGGACATAGGTTCTCAGATACATAGAATATAACCGGATACTACCATTTATAGGTAAAGTTGATCCAGGGAATATCCAATTGCCTCTCGGGGGATCAGGAAGGAATTTTTTCCCAGCAGGAGCAAATTGGATCATGCTTTGCTGGGTTTTTGCCTTCCTCTGGATCAACTGTGGGTGTAGGATTACAACTTTTTTTTTTTTTCTATGGTTGAACTGGATGGACTTTTGTCTTTTTTCAGCCAGAATAACTATGATTTTTCGTTTATTGGTCGACAATTCTGCCTATAAACGGCCCGTCTATGGCCAGCCTTATGCACACTCGATGTTATAAAAAACGCCCGCAGCATTAGCTGTAGAATGCTGCATTAAAAACGCGAGTTTTGCCGTTTTTTTTTAGCGTTTTTGCATAAGCTTTTTTCAGCATTTTTTAGTGTTTTTCAGCGTTTGCGTTTAATAGCAAAACTATACTCCCACAAAAGCTTGATGCTCAAAAACGCTCAAAACGCTGGATAGCTGTGTTTTTTAGTGTTTTTTCAGTTTTTAGCAGCGTTTTTCAGCTTTTATCAGAGTAAGTCCTTAAGCACTCTGGGCAAAAACGCCAATAGCTTAGCTGTAAAAAGTCACGTTAAATATGGAAGTTTTTCTTCATTTTGTATTAGAGTTTAGCTGCGTTTTTCCACATTTGTGGGTTTGTTTTGTTTTTTTTTTTTGTTTTTTTTACACAAAAAAAAAAATTTTTGCTCAAAAAAAAATGCCTAAAAACACTGGTTTACCGCATTTTTCCATGTTTACCAACATTACAGCATTTTTACAGCTAAAAAACTCCTCTAGAAACCCACAAGTTCTGGGGGGGGGGGGGGGGGAGGTTTCCAGCCAGAAAACACCCCTGCCAAAAAACGCTGATTAAGTCTAGGTTCACACCTATGCGGGTTGCGTTTGAGGCACTTCTGCATTGCGTTTCATTTTGTTTTTTCATTTTTTTCTGCACTTGCGTTTTTTACACGTTTTGCATTTTGGTTTTTTTTCTTGTTGCTAGGCAGATTTAAAATGCAAAACGCACACAATACATGCTTTTCTGCAGCGTTCCCATTGAAGTCTATAGAACCAAAAACGCAAGTCACAGCAATTAAGACGACACCCATTGTACTGAATGTGTTTTGACTTGTCAAGCAACTTTCTGTGTCGCAGCAGCGTGATCCAGGGCTAATTAATCTTCTTTATAAATGTGTTTGTGTCCCAAATAATGCCTGAAAAATGTTTTTAACTGAAGAAATTGTTAATTAGTATACAAAGAATGAATATAAAACTGAACGTTCAGCACTTAGGGTGGGCAGCTGTACCTCCTAGCCTGGTATTATACAAAGCAAAGTCCTCCTCACCTTGACATGATTACTCTCTTGCTTCTTCACCTCGGGGTGTATACATAGCTGCTCCCTTGAGCCCAGGACACTGACTTTAGGTCTGAAAGAAAATCAGGGATGATTTACAGAAACAAAACTGTGCGTCTGCACTTCTGTCACACAGACATTGCTTATTTCTGGTATCTGGGACTTGGCAGAGACTCATGGCACCTGTGCACATGAACCTCCAAGATTTGGGCAGATATTCGGGACATGGCAGAGACCCAGGGCATACCTGGCAGAGCACAATGCCTTGTCTGTGCAGGCGCATCATGGGTGTATGCCCATTTTTCGCCAAGGCAAGAAAGCAGGAAATTCTGCTTTGCAGCACACAAACTGTGCTATATCTTACTTATATTAACCATTTCCTTACCACGCTATAGCCAAATGACTGCTACAGCGTAGTCATCCAGTTCTGGGAGGGCGTCATGTGACGTCTTCCCAGAATGCACCACCCTGTGCACCCCCAGCGCTGTCCTTGATTGCTGTGTCCTTTGGACACAACTGATCACTTGACATGGTAAAAGGCCAATCACAGCAACCATTTACCTCATGATCAAATATGTCCAATCACAGCTGACCACCATGTAAATACACTTGCCGGTTATCGGCAGTACTTTCCTCGCACTGTCACAGCATGAGAAAAGTACTGCCAATACACGGCAACTGCCAAAGGAGACACGTGCACTGATAATCAGGGCAGCCCCGAAAGTGCCCATCAGTGCTGCCCAGCAGTGCCCTTCAGTACTACCCATTAGTGCCCATCAGTGCCGCCAATCAGTGCCCTTCAGTACTACCCATTAGTGCCCATCAGTGCCGCCAATCAGTGCAGCAGCATCATCAGGGGCTCCTCATCAATGCCCACCAGTGCCACCTCATCAGTGCAGCCTCATCAACGCACATCATTGTAAGAGAAAAATTACCTGTCTGCAAAATGTTATAATAGAAACAAAGAAAAATTTTTTTTTTTTCAAAATTTTCATGCTTTTTTTCGTTTATAGTGCAAAAAAAATAAAAAATTTTATTTTGTGTGAAAAAAATAATAAAAATTTCAGATGGGTACAGTGCTGCATGACTGCGCAATTGTCAAAGTGCAACAGCACTGAAAGCTGAAAATTGGTCTGGGCAGGAGGGGGGTGAAAGTACCCGGTAGGCAAGTGGTTAATAAAACGTTTTTCAGTTCTGTGATAAGGAGGGGGGCGAAAGGAAGCTAGAAAACATGTTCATGTAATGGGTTAAGGTCCGCCTTAAAAGTGGTTGTAAAGGTTTTTTTTTAGTGTGTTTTTTTTATTAAATTAACAAACACGTTATACTTACCTGCTCTGTGCAGAATGGCCCTGAACTTCCTCTTCTGGAGTCCCCTGCCAACGCTCTTGCTCCTCCTCCTCTCTGTGTGCCACCAGAAGAAGCTGCTTCCTATGGTGGCACACCTGTAGGCTCGCTCCAGAGCTGAGCTGTGTGTGTCTATAGAAACACACAGTGTGGCTTGCCCTCCCCCAATAACATTTAACTGACAACAGAAGTGGCCAATGGCTCCCACTGCTATCACTGCAGCCTGTGAGGAGTTCTCTGTTACGATCCTTCAAACCCACAGAAGATATAACTCTAGTGTAGACTTCTGAAATCCAATCACAAGCCAGAAAAATAAGTGTCCCGTTTCAGACCCCTCCCAGTTATCTCTGGCAAATAAAGTAAGGCCTTTCACACAGGCGTTCCGTATGCCGTTTTTCATCTGTCCATTTACGGATGAAAAACGGACACCCATGTATTTCTATGGACTAGCAGATGTAAATACATAATCTGTTTAATGTCCGTATCCGCTAACATCTGCTTTTTTGAATGGAAGAAAAATCCTATTTTTCTTCCGGAAAAAAGAAAAACGGAACGCATTAAAAACGTATGTAAATACGGATTTTTTTTTTTCTTTGAATAAAACGTGACTGAACTGCTGAAAGAAAATGGAAGGCCCGTGTGAAAGGTCCCTAAACGTACGATTACAGACATACGATTAAAGTCAGAGAAAAAAAAAAAAGACGACAAGTATGAATTTGTGGTAGAAATGGAAGAGAGAGCATAGAACTACCTGTACACGGTTTGCTTGAGTTCACTGATGACTTGCGTCAGCTGGGAGTGTGTCCGGGAAGCGTAGATAATCTTGGGAATATCGCTGTAATAGGCTGTATTTAAACAAAAAGTAAAGAAAAAAAAAAAAAGAATGCACATTACTTTGAAAATGTATAAACACACAAAACCAGCTGAGTGGGCTGCAGACATCTAACGCCTCGTGCACACAGGCGCTTTGGCCCATAAAGGGTAAAAAAGGGGCGCTTTTGGTCACTTGGAAGGTATAGGCCCAAAGTACAGCTGAAACCAATCAGCTTCCAGGTTTTTTTGTCAAAACTTAATTGAATAAGCTGAAGTTAGAAGCTGATTGGCGAACATGCACAGCACTAGATTTTGCACTCTCTGATTTTAGTAAATCCCCCCCAAATGCACTGGAAATTCCCATGGGATGCTGTACAATTAAAGTGATTGTAAAGGATAATTTTTTTTAAATAACAAACATGTTATACCCACCTGATCAGGGCAATGATTTTGCACAGAGTGGCTCAAATCTGCTTCTACGTTCCCCCACAGGCGATCCTGGCTCTTCGCCCTGTCGCAAGTTGTTTGCTGTTGGGGCACTTGTTTGGGCTTACTCCTGAGCCGGCTATGTGTGTCAGAGAAAAAGCGAGAGAGCGACAGAGAGAGAGAGAGAGGGGGGGAGAGGGACAGGGGGAGAGGGAGGGGGGAAAGGGGGGGAGAGAGGGAGAAAGGGGGGGAAGAGGGGAGGGAGAAAGGGGGGAAGAAAGGGGGGAGAGAGAGGGAGAAAGGGGGGAAGAGAGAGGGAGGGGGGGAGCGGGGGAGGGGGGGAAGAGAGAGGGAGAAAGGGGGGAAGAGGAGGGAGAAAGGGGGGAGAGAGGGGGGGGGGGGAAGAGAGAGGGAGGGGGGGGAAGAGGGAGGGGGAGGGGGGGGAGGAGAGGGAGGGGGGGGGAAGAGGGGGGGGGGGGGAAGAAGAGAGGGAAGAGGGAGGGAGGGGGGAAGAGGGAGGGAGGGGGGGAGAGGGAGGGGGGGGAGAGGGAGGGAGGGGGGGGGAAGAGGGGGGGGGAGAGAGGAGGGGAGGGGGGGGGGAGAGAGGAGGGGGGGAGAGGGAGGGGGGGAAGAGGGAGGGGGGAGGGGGGGGAAGAGGGGGGAGGGAGAGGGGGGGGGGGAGGGAGGGGGGGGGGGGAAGAGAGGGAGGGGGGAAGGGGTGGGGGAGAGAGGGAAAGAGAGAGGGAAAGAGAGAGAGAAGCTGCCCCCATGCACACCGCTGGATTGAGATCTGATTCTGGCATATGCGTTTTTACTGCATTTTTCACAGGACATGTGACTCAAAAAATGATGCGTCTGATACATTTTGGGCCACGTTTTCCATTGATTTCAATAGGGAGGTACTTTTTTTTTTTTTTTACCGCACCAAAAATGCAGCAAATAGGATTTTTAAAAAACGCACCTGACCTGCCATGCATCAGTGTGAAGAGTTCCATAGGAATACATGGTCACATGTTTTTCTTCCGCTTTTGCGGATCAGTGCTAATTTTGTTTGAGAATTTTCGCTTCAAGAACATTCGTTTGATTTTGTAATCGTTTACGGGGTCAATTCGATGTCCGTTTTTCAACAGCAGTGACGAGAGCATTTGAAGGGCGGATGGAAAACTTTTCTCGATCAAACAAATTTTTTGACCAGTGTATGTGGTTATCGTTCAGAAATTACATTTATTTTAAAATCTAATGTTAAAAGCAAAAAGACAATTTTCGCACGACATTCGTCCGCTCATCGGATGTGCAAGGAATTTTCATGTAACTTTTCTAAGCACGAACAGGGCTGCCGAGTTGTCAGTCACACTATAGAAATGCAGTCCGGAAGCGTTTGTGTCGGTGGAGAGCTGACGGAGATTGCTCTACACAGGCTTTTTTGGGTGTGGTTTGAGTAAGGATGGGCGAGGACACAGGGGCCCCATGATCCCTTATTGCCCGGGGGGTCCCATGAGTTGTCAGTCCGCCCCTGCTGCATACACGTTTTTTTGGCACGTTCTGGTTTTGTTTTTGATGCTTTCCAGTTAATTTTTTCCCCCTTTCTTCAGTTTAAATGGGGACATGTGCGTTCCGGTGCGTTTTTGATACATTTTACTGCATCCCAGTACAGTTCTATGCAGGAAAAAGGCAGCATGTTCTGCTTTTTTTTCTGCAACTGGAAAGCACTGATGTGAACTATGACACTGCCAACCATATGACCTACTTTCTGTGCATTTTGGATGCAGAAAAGAAAGCAACTGAAATGCATGGAGTGTGAACCGTCCTAAGACTCCACTGGGAGATTGCCCTGACTCTTTGTTCCTGTGACTCCTATACTAGAAATGGGGATGTGGTTGTCAGGAGGAGCGGAAGTCACGGGCAACACTAAAATCGATGTCTGAAGCTCCACTCACTTCATATCGGAGAGATTTCCAATCATCAATTCTCCCCGATAGGAACACAGATGGCCATAAAGACCTGAGAGAGGCACGGAGCCACCGCTGGTCACTGTAGCGGGGGGACCTATAGATTGGCTGTGCCTGCAGGAGAGGCAGAGACATAGAATGGACAGAGAGGATACCTGAGCCCTGTGGATTGGCCTCTCCGCTCCCCCAGTCTGCAGCTGGACGGTCTGGGAACAGCTCGCCGCCATTCATGCGCTCTTTGATCTTGCGGGCAGTGATGGCGTCCTTGAAATGCTGACGCCATGCCAACGTGGCACACAGCAGGCAAAGCGTTTTTCCTGTGCCCGTCGGACTTTCCAAGACACCATTAACACTCTGGGGGGTGAGAAATAAAACATTGTTCCAGTATAGAATACCGAGCCATCGTATGGGAGATCAACTTCTTATAGGTGATTGGACGGATAAAAATCCCAACCCGTAGTCTGTGTCTGACCAATTGTACACCAGAGGCTCCACCCCTATACACAGAAGGGCATCACCTACACAGAGGAGAGGCTCCTCCCCCACATACTGTGTATATGACAAGCTCCTCTCCATAGGCAGTACATGCTGCTGTACAGAACCAGTATATACAGGACATCCCCCCCCATTCATAGTATAGGCTCCTCCCCTTCTGATCCATTATACACAATACAGACTCCTCCCCTTCTGACCCATTATACGCAATACAGACTCCTCCCCTTCTGACCCTCTATACATAGTATAGGCTCCTCCCCTTCTGATCCATTATACACAATACAGACTCCTCCCCTTTTGACCCATTATATGCAACAGACTGCTCCCCTTCTGACCCATTATATGCAATACAGACTTTCCCGCTCAGACCCTCTATACATAATACAGGCTCCTCCCCTTCTGACCCATTATATTCATACAGGCTCCTCCCCTTCTGACCCATTATATTCAATACAGGCTCCTCCCCTTCTGATCCATTATATTCAATACAGGCTCCTCCTCTTCTGACTCATTATATTCAATACAGGCTCCTCCCCTTCTGACCCATTCTATGCAATATAGACTCCTCCCCTTCTGACCCATTATATGTAATAGACTCCTCCCCTTCTGACCCATAATACACTATAGACTCCTCCCACTCTCTGATCCTCATATATCAGTGATGGCGAACCCGTGGCACGCGTGCCACAGCCGGCACGCCGAGCCTTATCTGTGGGCACGCAGAATCCAGCGGCGCGCTGTCTTCCCTGTAGTGTGCGTGACAGCCGGGTCCCAAGTGCGCATGCACAAGAAGCAGTGCTCTTTGTGAATGGTAGGCGGTACCTGGGGACACATGACAGATCCCAGAAGCCGCCGGACCAATCACAAAGCGCAGCGCTTCTCGCGCATTTTGGCATCCGGCTGTCCGCCCACATACATAAGCCGGGAAGACAACGCGCGGCTGGATAAAGGAACAGGTAAGATAAAAAAAAAAAACTCTGCGGAAGTAAGAGCGGGTACCTGTCAAATTCAGGTACCCGCTCCCCCCCCTCCCCAAAGGTCAGCAGTCATCCCTGTGCTGTCCGCCCCTCTGGTCATCCCTGTGCTGTCCGCAGTCTCTGGTCATCTCCAGTCCGCAGTCTCTGGTCATCTCCTGTACTGTCCGCAGTCTCTGGTCATCTCCTGTACTGTCCCCTCTGGTCATCTCCTGTACTGTCCGCAGTCTCTGGTCATCCTCCTGTACTGTCCGCAGTCTCTGGTCATCTCCTGACGTGTGTCCGCAGTCTCTGGTCATCTCCTGTACTGTGTCCTGCGCAGTCTCTGGTCATCCCTGTACTGTGTGTCCGCATCTCTGGTAATCCCTGTACTGTGTCCCAGTCTCTGGTCATCCCTGTACTGTCCGCAGTCTCTGGTCATCCCTGTACTGGCCCGCAGTCCCTTCATCCCATGTACTGTGTCCGCAGTCTCAAATCCTCCTGTACTGTGTCCGCAGTCTCTGGTCATCCCTGTACTGTCCGCAGTCTCTGGTCATCCCTGTACTGTCCGCAGTCTCTGGTCATCCCTGTACTGTCCGCAGTCTCTGGTCATCCCTGTACTGTGTCCGCAGTCTCTGGTCATCCCTGTACTGTGTCCGCAGTCTCTGGTCATCCCCACTGTATCCGCAGTCTCTGGTCATCCCTGTACTGTGTCCGCAGTCTCCATCCCCAATACTGTGTCCGCAGTCTCTGGTCATCCCTGTACTGTGTCCGCAGTCTCTGGTCATCCCTGTACTGTGTCCGCAGTCTCTGGTCATCCCCCTGTACTTTCCGCAGTCTCTGGTCATCCCTGTACTGTGTCCGCAGTCTCTGGTCATCTCCTGTACTGTGTCCGCAGTCTCTGGTCATCCCTGTACTGTGTCCGCAGTCTCTGATCCCTGACTGTGTCCGCAGTCATGGTCATCCCTGTACTGTTAATTAGTTTGCACTTACTGTACGAGTTGTTTTTTCTAAACCAAAAGCTCGATATTCAGGTTTCATTGCAGTGTTGGCACTTTGAATAGAAATAAGTTGGTTTTGGGTTGCAGTTTGGGCACTCGGGCTCAAAAAGGTTCGCCATCACTGCTCTATATAGTACAGGCTCCTCCCCTTCTGACCATTTATATGCAATACAGACTCCTCCCATTTGACCCTCTATACGTAATAGAGGCTTCTCCCCTTCTGACCCATTATACGCAAGACTCCTCCCACTCTGACCCTCTATACATAGTACAGGCTCCTCCCCTTCTGACCCATTATACGTAATAGACTCCTCCCGCTTTGACCCTCTATACATAATACAGGGTCCTCCCCTGCTTACCCCGTTATATGCAATACAGACTCCGCCCCTTATGACCCATTCTACGCAATACAGACTCCTCCCGCTCTGACCCTCTATACATAGTACAGGCTCCTCCCCTTCTGACCCATTATATTCAATACAAACTCTTCCCGCTCTGACCCTCTATACATAGTACAGGCTCCTCCCCTTTGGGCCCATTATACATAATACAGACTCCTCCCATTTTGACCCTCTATATCAGTGGTTCTCAACCTTCCTAATGCCATGTGACCCTTTAATACAGTTCCTCCATGTTGTGGTGACCCCCAACCATAAAATTATTTACCCAGAAATTATCATTTATGGGTGTCATTTTACCTCCAATACTGCTGCTTTCAACACAGTAGCTGCTCTTTACACATCGGAAATATGTATTTTCTGATGGTCTTAGGGGACCCCTGTGAATGGGTCCTTCGACCCCCAAAGGGGTCGCGACCCACAGGTTGAGAACCACTGCTCTATACGTAATAGAGGTTCCTTCCCTTCTGACCCATTATGCGTGATACAGACTCCTCCCGCTCTGACCCTCTACACATAGTACAGGCTCCTCCCCTTCTGACCCATTATACACAATACAGACTCCTCCCCTTCTGACCCATTATATGCAATACAGACTCCTCCCCTTTCTGACCCATTATATGCAATAAAGACTCCTCCTACTCTGACCCTCTATACATAGTATAGGCTCCTCCCCTTCTGACACATACACAATACAGGCTCCTCCTCTTACACCATACAGTACAGACTCCTCCCCCTTTGACCCACTATACACAGTACAGACTCCTCACTACACTATTATACTGAGAACATATTATTGGTCACACTTTAGGCTCCTCCTCTAAACACAAATCTGTTCCCTCTCACGCTCTGAGCCCCACGCCATCACCATAGTCAAGACAAGCTCCTCCTCTAAAACTAGGCTCCTCCCCTATAACTACACCCATAATACGGGTTATTTGTCTCCCTGCAAGCCCCTCCCCTAAACACATAGCTGCTCCACCCTGAACTCTAAGCCCCTCCTCCGGACCGCCTCCCTGTAGCCACACCTGCTGCAGACACTCGATGACTTTCCTCATATAATCCTCCTGACAGGGGTACGGGGGGAACGGAAACTCCACCGGGACACCGGCCACCTGGACCTGAGGCATGTCCGCTCCTCACCCCGGCCCGCTCTCCTCCACGCCTCAGCTTCACACTTCCCGCCCGTACGTCATGACGTCACCAGGACACCTACGTCCCGCCCTACCCGGTTGACGTCACCTGAGCTTTTCCCACCTCCTTGATAGGCAGTCGCGGGAGAGGACGGCGCTGAACTGGGGGGAGGATGTGAGGAGGCGGGGCCGGCCGGGGACACCCTGCTGGTGGGGGAGAGAAGGCAAAGAAAGGGTTAAAAAAACGAAGCGACCGGGCGGTAAACATGGCGTTAGCGTGCCGTTAAACGGACATTAAACTGGCGCTAATCCGGGGATGAAACTGAAGCTGAATTGGGTTTAAACTGGTTCTAATCTGGGTGTCAAAGTGAAGCTGAATCGGGTTTAAACTGGTTCTAATCCGGGCGTCAAACTGAAGCTGAATTGGGTTTAAACTGGTTCTAATCTGGGCGTCAAACTGAAGCTGAATAGGGTTTAAACTGGTTCTAATCCGGGCGTCAAACTGAAGCTGAATTGGGTTTAAACTGGTTCTAATCCGGGCGTCAAAACTGAAGCTGAATCGGGTTTTTAAGCTGTTTTTAATCTGGGTGTCAAACTGAAGCTGAATCGGGTTTCCATGCATGTTTCTAATCTGGGTGTCAAACTGAAGCTGAATCGGGTTTAAACTGGCGCATAATCCAGGTGTTAGATCTCATACGGTCCATCCACGGAACATTTTTACAGCGGCTGTTTTTGGCTCTTGGCGTTTTTTCTACAGCCAGTTCTCCTACCCCCCAGCATGTTATCCCCCCTGCAGTGTGTCCATCCCATCCCTGGCATGTTATCCCGTGTGTCCATCCCCGGCATGTTATCCCGTGTGTCCATCCCCGGCATGTTATCCCGTGTGTCCATCCCCGGCATGTTATCCCGTGTGTCCATCCCCGGCATGTTCTCCTACGTGTCCATCCCCGGCATGTTCTCCTACGTGTCCATCCCCGGCATGTTCTCCTACGTGTCCATCCCCGGCATGTTCTCCTACGTGTCCATCCCCGGCATGTTCTCCTACGTGTCCATCCCCGGCATGTTCTCCTACGTGTCCATCCCCGGCATGTTCTCCTATGTGTCCATCCCCAGCATGTTATCCGTCCCCAGCATGTTATCCTACGTGTCCATCCCCGGCATGTTATCCTACGTGTCCATCCCCGGCATGTTATCCCGTGTGTCCATCCCCGGCGTGTTCTCCTACGTGTCCATCCCGGCGTGTTCTCCTACGTGTCCATCCCCGGCGTGTTCTCCTACGTGTCCATCCCCGGCGTGTTCTCCTACGTGTCCATCCCCGGCGTGTTCTCCTACGTGTCCATCCCCGGCGTGTTCTCCTGCGTGTCCATCCCCGGCGTGTTATCCCGCGTGTCCATCCCCGGCGTGTTATCCCGCGTGTCCATCCCCGGCGTGTTATCCCGCGTGTCCATCCCCGGCGTGTTATCCCGCGTGTCCATCCCCGGCGTGTTATCCCGCGTGTCCATCCCCGGCATGTTATCCCGCGTGTCCATCCCCGGCATGTTATCCCGCGTGTCCATCCCCGGCATGTTATCCCGCGTGTCCATCCCCGGCATGTTATCCCGCGTGTCCATCCCCGGCATGTTATCCCGCGTGTCCATCCCGCATGTTATCCATGTCCCCCCGGCATGTTAGCTTTAACCCCTTCATGCCTAAGGGTAAAACAAATGTTAATGCCTAAGCACAATTTTGCAACGTTGACATGTGTTAGTAATACCGTACGTATCATCACAGCTACTTTGTACATCCGGGTGGATTATGTCGCATTTTTTTCAGGACAAATTGGGCTTTTATTTGGTGGTAAATGGTAATGGAGATCTCCTGATTTTTTTTATTATTATTAAAGGAAAACTGGCCCAAAATAGTAAAAAAAAAAAATTTGTTTAATTTAGCTGTGTGTTTCTTGTTCCTATCAGGGGCGGACTGACCATTTGCAAACTTGGGCACTGCCTGAGGGCCCGGGGTCAGTAGGGGGCCCCATGAGATGCCCCTGGTACCTTTTTCATAGGCTTTTTTGAGTTTGGGCAAGGACACAGGGGCCCCATGATCCCCTATTGCCCGGGGGCCACATGAGTTGTCAGTCCGCCCCTGGTTCCTACCATAACCTACCACAAAAGAACAACCCAAAATACATTTTCAGCCGAGACTCAGTGACTGTCGGTGGAGCTGACGGGAGAGGTCTGTAGGTAAACAATACAGATCTCTCCCCTATCAGCATAAACAGGCTGCTTTGTATTGCTCTACACAGGGGCGACTGGCCATTTGGAAACCTGGACACTGCCCGAGGGCCCGGGGTCAGTAGGGGGCCCCATGAGATGCCCCTGGTACCTTTTTCATAGGCTTTTTTGAGTTTGGGCAAAGACACAGGGGCCTATGATCCCCTATTGCCCAGGGGCCCCATGAGTTTTCAATCCGCACCTGGCTCCGCACAGCAGAGCAATACAAAGCAGCTTGTCTACATAGTAAAAACACACACAGCACACAGTTAACCCTTTCATTGCCCCAGATGATATCGCCCTCCTGCCCAGTGCCATTAGTACAGTGTCAGTCCTTTTTATTAGCACTGATCACTGTATTGGTGTCACTGGATATGTCAGTGACACCAAGTCAGTCCCCCCCCCCCCCCCCCCCCCCAGTGTAAGAATGCCCACCGCAGTCCCGCTATAAGTCCCTGATCACCGCCATTACTAGTAAAAAAAAAAAATAAAAGTAAAAATTCCACTAGCTATACACCATTTGCAGACGCTATAACTTTCACGTAAACCAATTAATTTACACGTATTGGGATTTTTTCTTTAGCAAAGACATGGAGCAGAATACATTTTGGCCTAAATTTATGATGAAATTTTATTTTTTTAATTTTTTTTTTCACTGTAGATGTTTTATAGCAAGAAGTTAAAAATATAGTTTTTTTTTTTTTCAAAATTGTCGGTCATTTTTGTTTAAAGTGCAAAAAAATAAAAACCGCACTGGCAATCAAATACCGCTGAAAGAAAGCTCCATTTGTGGGGAAAAAAAGGACGTAAATTTCATTTGGGTGTAGCGTTGCATGACCGCGCAATTGTCAGTTAAAGTAATGCAGCATCGTATCCATAAAATGGCCTGGTCAGGAAGGAGGGGGGGAAATCTTCAGGAGGGAAAGGGGTTAAATAGCACCATCAATTTACACTATTCACATCAGTCCCTAACCCCCAAGGGGAGTACAATCTAAGGTCCCTAACCCCCAAGGGGAGTACAATCTAAGGTCCGTAACCCTCAAGGGGAGTACAATCTAAGGTCCCTAACCCTCAAGGGACGTACAATCTAAGGTCCCTAACCCTCAAGGGGAGTACAATCTAAGGTCACTAACCCTCAAGGGATGTACAATCTAAGGTTCCTAAACTTCAAGGGGGTGTACAATCTAAGGTCCCTAACCCTCAAGGGGAGTACAATCTAAGGTCACAACCCTCAAGGGATGTACAATCTAAGGTTCCTAAACTTCAAGGGGGTGTACAATCTAAGGTTCCTAACCTTCAAGGGGGTGTACAATCTAAGGTCCCTAACCCTCAAGGGGCGTACAATCTAAGGTCCCTAACCCTCAAGGGGCGTACAATCTAAGGTCCCTAACTCCCAAGGGGCGTACAATCTAAGGTCCCTAACCCTCAAGAGGCGTACAATCTAAGGTCCCTAACCCTCAAGGGGCGTACAATCTAAGGTCCCTAACCGTCAAGGGGTGTACAATCTAAGGTCCCTAACCCTCAAGGGGGGTGTACAATCTAAGGTCCCTAACCCTCAAGGGGGCGTACAATCTAAGGTCCCTAACCCTCAAGGGGCGTACAATCTAAGGTCCCTAACCCTCAAGGGGGGTACAATCTAAGGTCCCTAACCCTCAAGGGGCGTACAATCTAAGGTCCCTAACTCACATTCATACATACTCATACTAGGTCCAATGTAGACAAGCGCAGGGAGAACATGCAAACTCCAGGCGGGTGGTGCCACGGTTGGGAATGAACCAATGACCCAAGAAAGAAATCTCTATTTGTGGGAAAAAATACATTTTGATGTAAATTTATGACAAAATGTGATTTTTAAATTTGTTTTTACTGGACATGTTTAATAGCAAACAGTCATAAATATTGGGGTTTTTTTCTCAAAATTGTCAGTATTTTTTTCTTTTATAGCAGAAAAAATAACGCACAGGCGATCAAATACCACCGAAAGAAAGCTCTATTCCTGGGGGGAAAAAAAGGATGCAAATTTCATTTGGGTGCAGCGTTGCATGACCACACAATTGTCAGTTAAAGTAACGTAGCACCGTATTGCAAAAAATGGCCTGGTCAGGAAAGGGGGGGGGGGGGTAAATCCTCTGGAGGGCAATTAAAGGCGAAGACCCACTTTAATAATAAGAGAATAATTTCTAAGGTGAACTTGCACTTTAAAGAGGCACAAAAGAGAACAAAGCAGTCCACAGACGGGTTGAACATCGGCCGATTAAAAAAAAAAAAAAAAAAATCAGTCATTTGATAAGCCGACGTTACCATCAATGTTAAAAAAAATCGACCAATTTTCGACCCGTCTATGGCCAGCATTAACCCCATAACTTCCGTCCCTTGCAGAGACAGGGGAGCACACCATACAATGTGACAGCAATACATAAGAAAGAAGAAGAAGAAAAAGATAAGAAGAAGAATTCCAGTCGGGTATTATATTTTATATGACAGTCTTGCGGTTGCAACAAATGTATCCATTTGTATCCAAATAAAAACATTGTAATACATTATTTGGATTACAATGTTTTTATTTGGATAAAAGTGGATACATTTGTTGCAACTGCAAGACTTTTCATATAAAATATAATAGCAGACTGGAATTATTCTTCTTTTTCTTCTTCTTGCAGGTCACGGCTCATGCGCAGATTTTTTATCGGTAAAACGATCGGCTGATTTGCCCATCATTGCCGGGAAAATTGGCCGATCGTCAAAATCGGCCGCAAATTTTTCAGCATGCCCGATAAAAAAAAATGTGCAAAAACCTCGAAAAACGGCTGACCAATTAGCCCACTAACGATGCGAAAATCGTCCGATTTTTTTTTTTTTTTTTGCGGCCAAAAAATTGCCCGATTTTTGACCCGTCTATGGCCGGTACAAATCCCCCAGAACAGAGGCTGAATGGAGTGGACCTTGTGATTTCTTTTTTTCTATTGTCTCTTCAGAGGGATACATATAAATGATACATATGATCATCCCCATGCAGTCAGTATAGGCACACACAGCACATATGGATACATTGTATCCATGTTAGGAGGTTGGGACTCTGTGCAGAAGACAAGGGGTGTGGGGGTCTGATATAGGGAGCTGGGTTGGTCCATGTGGATACAATGGTGGGGGGGGGGAGTCAGCAGGGCTGGGTGTGACTCTGCACTCCTTCTCCTTTCATTGTTATTCCAGATAGAGGAAATCTATAGAAGTTAAAAGCAGGATCTCCCTGTGCTGACATCTCCTGTGAAAGTCACCCCCCCCCCCCCATCCTGATCACACACCCTATATTCTCTACTACCCCCCCCCCCCCCCTCATCACCTCTGTCTCCTCCCTCTCCCACCACTCCTGGATCCCCCTTGAGCTGAGTCAGGCATTAGCTCTCCCTTCCACAGCATTGCAGTAGTCAGCCACCCAGCAAGCCCCTTCCTTTCTGATCATCTTCCACTCTGCATCCTTCAGCACCATGGCCAGCACCCTGTCAGGTAGGAGACTGCATCCATCAGGGAAGGTCCAGCACTGGGAAAAAGAGGGAGGGGGGGGGGGGGGTCCATGCATCACTGATCCTCTACATGTGCATGTCCTTTAAGGCATTGTGCAATAAAAAATGCATTTTTTAAAATATTTTTTATTTTATCTTTTTTTTTTTGTGGAAGATTACATTTTGTCTACTATGTCTTGCATGATCAGTGCTGATTGCAGCGCCTTATTAAATGAGCCTCTCTGTTTGCCATCTGCCTTGAGGTCCCGGGGCGTGGTGCACTTGCCAAAAAAAAAAAACAAAAAAAAAGTGCATCCGTGCTTTTCTTGGTGCAAAAACCTCCTTTTTGTATTTATCCGGGAGGGCTGGATGACTACAACATGCAATGCATGAAGGAGTGTATGTAACAATACACGCATGCACATACTTGGTCCTGGAAATCATTTCACTACAGCTGTA